CCAGAAGGAGAAGCTGTAATCCCGCTGGGGGGAGAGCGAGGCAGCCCCTAGCAGGGCGGAGGAGAGCAGGGCGGCGGTGGAGAAGGCGGCACCCACCGGGAGGGCCCGGGGCTGCTTCTCTGGCACCTTCAGCCGGTTCATCCCAGAGGTTTGAGAGACGGGCTCTGATCGGAAAAGCGGGACAGAGGGAGACACTCAGTCCAGCATCCCAGAAGCGGTGGGACCCCTGCCAGCCCACCTTTCTCAGTAACTCCGTGCGTTGCTGCGTTACCTCTGCCCAGAGAGCCTCATCCTCTTTACAGGACAAGAGGAAGAGGATCCCCCGGGCATCGCTGGCGGCTGGGATCCTTCTTTCCACCCCAGAGACAACCCCAGAGCAAAGGCTCATTTACGCACTGTCTTTTGATCCTCTCTGCTGATGGTCAGCTTCCTTCGCCCCCTTTCCAGAGCTTCTCCAGAGTATTCTAGAAGCAAGAGAGAGAGAGAAAGAGACGTTGGGGAGACGTTGGCTGTCCTAGTTGCCTCCTGTCCCACTGTTTGGTAGAGTTGCAAAATGCCTTCGGATTCCCTTTGGGCAAAAGATGCCAAGCCTCTCCCGGTGCTGTTGTTGTTTTACGAAGATCTCAAGAGATGCACAGGTGAATTACACAAGGAGAGCGGCATTGTTGAAAAGCTCTTTTTTTTTATATGGATAGCTTAGCTTGGCGTCTTGCTGATGGCAAGAATTCACGTAGTAACTCAATGACAGTTTGTTTAGTGATGGTTTAACGTTACAACGGTACTTTAAAAAGAGCCTTATGACTAATTTTCACATTTATGACCATTACAGCCTCCCCATGATCACGCGATTTGCATTCAGACCCTTGGCGACCGTCCCCCATTTATGACAATTGCAGCGTCCCCGGGGGGATCACGCGATCCCCTTTTTGCGACCTTCTGACAGGCGAAGTCAATGGGGGAAGCCAGATTCACTTAACAACCGTGCTACTAATTTAACAACTGCAGTGATTCACTTAACAAATGCGGCAAGAAAAGTCGTAAAGCTTGCTTAACAACTTTCTCATTTAGCAAGATAAATTCTGGTCTTCAAGTCAAGGGACGACCTCTACTGCCAAAACAGTAACATAGCCAATCAGTTCCGGCAACAAAATCCGAAGTCGGCATTTTTCCCAGAGCCACAAGGGGAAACTGAGGAACACTGGACAGCCGTGCTTGGGGAGGGTTACTTCCTAGCCTAAGCAAAGCATCTTCTGCATGGCTTGGTTCTCCCCCCCCCTTCCCCTCCCTGCCCAGGTGAGCAATGGAGGATACCTGGTGCCCGGGCGTAGCCGTGGCTGCGCCCTGACCTCGGGCAGGCTCTCCTGGGGAGCACGAGGGGCCGGATCCTGGGACGCCATTGCCGGGGACCTCTGTGCGGGCTCCGGGGTCTCTGATAGGCCTGGCAGCTGGGCGATGGCAGAGAAGGACAGCCGCCTTTGTGCGTCCTCCGCACCGCACAGCTAGATGCTGTCAGTCTGGAAGGAGACGCTGCGAAAAGGGAGCAGAACACCCACACGCACACCCACACCAGATGGCTCCTCGGCTCCTGTTGGGAAAAGGAAGCTGGTGTGTGCCTCGGTTGTCAAAACACAAAAGTCTCCCGGGGTTTCTTCTTCTGCCACTGACTGCAAAAGTTGTTGGCTTTTATTTCAGTGGATGGGGAAAACAAGGCTTAGCAGCTCCCCCCCCCCCTCTGTGGGTCAGGGATGGGCAACGCAGAGAAGTGGTCGCTGCCCCTTGTGTCTGTGAAGGCTGGGCTGCCAGATGTTGGAAGAGAGCAGGAAAGGAGATCCTCCAATGGAGGCAGAATGTGTGTTCCCCCCCCCTCCCCTCCTAACTCCTTCCTCTTCCTCCTCCCTCCACTGAATCCTCAGCCCTGTAATTATCCATCCCTTGTGGGAGGGAGTTTGGAGGAGTTTTCCTGGGGGGTAGGGGGGAGAGAAAGGGCAGCAGGAGGGAGGCTGCCATTTGACATCTCGGTGGCTCTGCTATATGGAGCAGATCCCCTCTTGCACCCCATTGCAGTGATGGCGAACCTTTTAGAGACCGAGTGCCCAAACTGCAACCCAAAACCCACTTATGCATCGTCGGGTGCCGGGTGGGTGTGGCCCATTGGCTGGGCGTGGCCCATTGGGTGGGCGTGGCTGCCGTGGTAAGGGCAGACTGGGTGGGACTAAAAAGCTCAATCAATCAATTCCAACTTTGCAAGATCTTTTTTTTTCCCCGCGAGAAGTTGAAATTGACTGATTGATTGAACCTTTTTTTCTTTTTTGCACACGGCAGCGGAGGCCTAAAGCAAAAAGGTTTTATAAAACCCAGCTGAAGGCCTAGGACTGGGGCGACGGCGCGTGTGCGTGCCCACAGAGAGGGCTCTGAGTGCCGCCTCTGGCACCCGTGCCATAGGTTCGCCACCTCTGCCCCATTGCAAGGATACCTCTGTTCCCCCCCACCACTGCTGTCTTGAGCTGCGTAGCCTTTGAGAAAAGGCCCAAGGGGTTACTCAACTAGACAATGGGAAAGAGTTTGTTTGTGCCCGGTGGACGCTGGCTGGCCGGTCAGCTTTGGGGAAGCACAGTTGGGAACAGGGACATCCATAAGGTGGGGGGACCCTCCGGGGCAGGAGGATGGTGTTCTCTGGATCAGAGGGCAAGTTGTCCTTCTCCAAACAGGCCTCCAAGTCCTTCTGCACCTGCTTGCAGAGGCTTTAGGAATGCTTTAGGAATGCCAGCATCTTGACCTCTGTCGTCTCCGCGTCTCCCTGTCCTGCCTTTCTAATGGGGTTGGTTACTGAGCTTTCTCTGCAATGAAATGGCTTTATTGGCCAGAGGGATTCTTGGCAGCCACCTTCTCCAGTTTATAAGTCTAGTTCTTTTGGGCAAAAATCAGTGAAAAGCTCCCGACGAAGGCAGATTCTCGCTTTCCTGGCAGCTCTGCCCTACGCAGGACCGAAGGTGGCGGCTTCTTCTGAGCCGGTTCTTGTGTGGGAGGAACTGCTTTTTCCCTTCAATCATGCTCCAGACTGGCACGGAAATAACCGGCAGTTTTGAAGCAGCACGGGAGTGTTCAGTCATGTTGGCATCCCATTAGCTTGTTTGTCCAGCTGCCATTTCTCACCGGGAGCCAGAGAAGGGCCCTCGGCCTGTGCGAGCCCAAGGCCTCTGGCCTTTGGGAAGTGGGGAGCAATTTAAATCCCTCCCTCCCTCCTTTCGCTTTCACCCCGCGATTCAGCCGGTGAAGCTGTTAATTTTCTCAGCAGTTGGGTTTTTTTCTGCACATCTGGAGGCTGTTCAGCCGGGAACCGAACCGGAACAAAAAGCAGCCTCGACTCTCATGAATCATGCCGGTCAGATTCCATTAAACAAAACAAAAGCCCCACGTCTCGTTTAGCTCTTAGTTTCTGGGAACAGAATCCTGGGAATCTCGGTTCACTTCCGCCAGGGAGAGCGACCCAATGTTGCTTATTGACTTAAATCAATAGGGGAGACAATAATAATAATAATAAAGTTAGAAGGGACCTTGGAAGTCATCTAGTCCAACCCCCTGCTCAGGCAGGAAACCGTATTCCATTTCGGACAAATGGCTGTCCAGTCTCTTCTTCAAAACTTCCAGTGTTGGAGCATTCACCGCTTCTGGAGGCAGGTTGTTCCACTGGTTAATTGTTCTGACTGTCAGGAAGTTTCTCCTTAGTTCTAGGTTGCTTCTCTCCTTGATGAGTTTCCATTTGTTGCTTCTTGTCCTGCCTTCAGGCGCCTTGGAGAATAGCTTGACTCCCTCTTCTTTGGGGCAGCTCCTGAGATATTGGAAGACTGCTATCACGTCCCCCCTCGTCCTTCTCTTCCTTAAACTAGACATACCCAATTCCAGCAACCATTCTTTATATGTTTTAGCCTCCAGTCCCCTGATCATCTTTGATGCCCCCCCTGAGTGTTCCCGATTCCAATAATATCTGCGCTCTCCTTTCCCTCCCTGTCTTCTGTCTGCAACAGCTGGAGCCCCCCCCCCCACTTCCTGCTTTGGGGCTGGCTCTTGAAGGGAAGGGAAATCACAGCTGGAGACTCTTGAGTCTGTGCAGTTAGTTTCAATTAAATAGTGACTAAATGGCAAGGTTCAAGGGACTCGGCACATGCCCAGGGGCCCTATTGTTTGCATTTGACCCAATAGGCATTTTTTCTATCCTAGAAGTGCCTTTTCCCCCCTTCACTTAAAATGAGCCAGACATGTATTTTTTTTTCTTTTCCTTAGCCCGGATCTTGTCCTTCGCTTGGCCTTCTATCGTATTCTCTCCCCGACAGAAATGAGCAACTCAGGAATATCAAAGATTCAAGCGCTTTCGTTATAGAATTGCACCAGCAAAGCCCCCAGGTGTTCCCCCCCTCCCTTTGGCCACTCATGGAGACAAGAGATCCAGACCGTTCCAGACTTTTATTAAATCCCCTGTCGATACAAGCTGTACAGTTGCAACTCTGAATTGTCCTGACAGTCAGAAAGGCCCAAGGTGGGATTAGGAGGGAACTGAAATGGTGCTAAAAGAGGGTTGGGTTTCACTTCCCAAGCCATCAGCAGCAGCTGTGGGGCGAGGGAAGGTAGGGGAGTGCCACATCTCCCACAGTCCACAGCCTCCCCCCACCCACCCATGTCCTTCCACAAGGATTTCTAGTGGCTTGATTGAAGCTCCATTTGGGGGGACTCGCTCTTGGAAGGTGTCCCTGCCCTTCAGACGCAGGTTGAAAACTGCAAGGCCGAGAAGAAGCCGCTGGCAACTGGAGCCAAGGCGGCAGGGAATCGGAAAGGAGGCTGAACTGGGCTTGTCCAATCTTCTGGGTCTCGCAAAGTCCGCTGCGGGAAAATTCTTCTCTCCCGGTCCCCAACTGGCATTGTCCATGCGGTCGAGAGAGCTGCTTCTTGATCAAAAAAATGGAGGGGGATGCACTGGTGCCCATGCTTTGACCTCGCCGGCAGGGCTAATTCATACTGCTGGATAAAAAGCTGCTTGCTGTACGAAGAGAAGTAGAAATAAAACAGAAGGGCCGATTCAGAATAAGGGAGCAAAAGCTTGCTCCCGTTTTTTTTCCTTTTTTCACGATCTCCACCCTGCTCTGGTAAAACGCGGCCGAGAGGCTTGCGGTGAGGAGCTGAAAGGGTAGCTAGAATGAAAGCGGTCATTTGAGTTGAGCATTAAGGGGAGAAGCGGTTTCTTGAATCCATTGAAAGCGATGGATGCCTGGTCAGATCGGCTGCCAAACGAAGTGGCCTCTGGGCTTATTTTGTGTTCTGTTATCTAGACCAGGGCTTTTCAACCAGTGGTACGGGCACCACCTGTGGTACATTGGCACCTGGCAGGTGGTACGCGACCATCCTAGAAAAGTGGTAGCAGGGGAGGGGAATGAGCTGAACCGGTGGCAGCACCGCACAAGCCTGAGCGAGAAATGGCTGGAGCTGCAGGGCTGTCAGGGCTCAGCGGAAGCACCAGGATCAGTGCCGCTTTCCAGCTGATTGGTGCTTTTTCGGGGCTGTCAGGGCTCAGCGGAAGCGCCAGGATCAGAGCTAGGCTCCAGCTGGAGCTCGGCGCTGATCCTGGTGCTTCTGCTGAGCGCTGAAGAAGCACCAATCAGCTGGAAAGCAGCACTGATCCTAGTACTTCTGCTGAGCCCAGAAGAAGCGCCGATCAGCTGGAATGTTGCAGCATCTCCAGGGTCTTGTGATTTACATTCAGATGCTTGGCCACTGATTCATATTTATGACGGTCACAGTGTCCCAGGGTCATGGGAAGTGACCAAAACCTGCTGCAACCACCCAGCAGACGGGGGGGGGGAATAAAAACCAAACACCCCCCCACCCCTGCTGCCAATCCTCAACAGAAATGCTCACAACAATGAAAACCTCGGACAGGAGGAAGAGCGCCGCTGGATGGGCAGGCAGGTGTCTTGCTTGGCTGTGTCTTGGGGGGGGGCTTTTTTCAGTGCCATTGTAACTTCAAACAGTCACTAAGCGAACTGTTGTAAGTCGAGGACTACCTGTACTTTATCACTTTTTTCCCTTTTTTTGGTCATCAAGTTTTTGACCCCTTGCTAGGCGACTGGTGGTACTCGGATATTGCCATATCCTAAAAGTGGTACAATGGGTGAAAAGTCCTGATCTAGACAGCCTCAGGACAGCATCCTCAGCCAAACGAGCCTCAGAGGACAGAAAGATACGCTGGTTTTTCCCCCCCCCTATTTGGATGGCGGTTCCATATTTAATAACTCCCAGGGAAAGAGCCCCACCCTAGATACAGGCATTTCTGGAGTTGAGATGCCCTGGCGGCCGAGAAGACTTAAGACCCCCCCCTCAGCACAAGGCTGCCTCTGATTATGTTGCCCTTATGGAAGCACAGATGGTACAAGCATCACAGTACAGACTGCACCACAACACAGAGGGCGATCACACCATGCTACAGTAGTGCAGCTCGTCGTGAAGAGAGAGGCGCAGATTCTGAGAGATTTGGGGGGGGGTGGCGCTAAGTCTCCCCAAATTTCCCGGCTGGAAATCCGAACCTGCAAGAGTGTGTGATGCACAGCCACTCATTCATCTTCACCGCACAAGGTGGCCGGACTGCGGAAGCCCGTATGTGTGTGGTGCCGGCTCTGGGGAAGAAGGGTCCATACCTGTCCCTCTTCTGAACCCTTCTCTCGGCACTGGAGCAAAACACACAGATACACAAACGGACACACATGCGTTGTGCTTTGTGCCACGTTCACCGACTGACCTGGGCTGCTGGAAGAAGAGTCGGGACTCACCGTCGTCAGCAGCGCCTCCTGGTGGTCGGCCAGGGCCTGCTTGGCTAGGTAACGCTCCCTCTTGATCTTCACTTCCAGGGACTTGGGGATGTCCGGAACAAGCCAGTCAATCAGGCGCAAGCAGAAGAAGACCACGTGCTGGGAAGAGAAGGAGGGAGGGAGGAGAGCCCGGCGGAGGCCGCCCATCCCCGAATCGTCAGCCCTTACACAGGGGTTCTCAACCTTGGCAACTTTAAGACTTGTGGACTTCAACTCCCAGAATTCCTCAGCCAGCATTGCTGTTACACAGTGTTATCTTGATTATTTTTTGGAATAATAATTCTCGTTTGGGGTGTTGCTAGGAAAGGCAACTTAGCAAGGATTTTTTTCCAGGTCACATCGACAAAACTCAGACTGGGGTATTTGGGTAGGAAAGAGCAACAAAGGACACACACACCCCTTTTACACAATCGCAAGGGGCAGCCCCCGTTGTCGCTCTCCGTAAAAGGACCACCGAGAAACGACAAAAGTGGGGCTGGGGTTCCTCCGATTCCCTGCCAGGAAGCAGGTTTTGTCGGAGTGGCCTAAGGTCCCCCTCCGCTTTGGCCAGACGCCACGAGACTGGCGTCCTATGGTGGAGAATGCTTTCCCCTTCAGCTCCGGGCTTTGTCCTTCCGGAACTGGCCTAGGAGCGGAATGCACTGGTGTTCGCACGTCGTTTTGGGTCATGTCCATCAAGAGTTGAATGCTGGTGCTCGGGGTTTAAAGCGTGGCTTAAGGGAGACATTCGACAAACGGGTTTCCCCTGTTTTACGACTGTTCTTGCTACAGTGGTTAAGTGAGTCACTTGGACAGGTAAGCCAACACCACTCTCTCTTTTGGAAATGAAATTTTGACCGAAAGAAAAGGGCTGTGCCCAAAAGCCCGATATCAGGGTCTTTTCTACTCCTAAGTCCGCTCCGGGGTACGGAAATCTTAGCAACTGCGTTCTTTCGCAAAGAGCAGATAATCAATATTTACCCAGATTGGCAGGTCTGACATTTGAATACAACCTTGCCTTGGCAAAATGGCAGCTGATAATCCAGCAAATTCCACCTCTATTTATGGATTAAAAAAAATTAGATGGTTCTAAGAGATGATTCAACCTAATAAATCCTGGTAAATGAATGGATAGTTTTCAGTTGCAGAAGGGAAGGCTTTTGAGAGAAACGAATCTGGGCTGAAACTTTTGGCCCAACCCCGATTATACAACTGAGAAACTTCAGGTGTTACATTTGGAACAACAATGAAAATTCCCAGCCAGCTAAATAAACAGCATCGAAATCTACCCTTAAACGGATGATTGTATTCAATCCGTGCATTTTATTTTTGAAACGGGCAGAAAGTTCGAGCCAAAGGTTACGTTGATGCTATCCTTGGAAAATGAGGCGCTATAAGCAACATAAATCGCGAACATCACGGAAGGATTAACTTTTGGGAACGCCTGCTTTCCTTTGACTTAAGCCAGGCCTTGCTTGCTCCCAACAGGCCACAGCTGCTGAGTCCCACACAGTAGTTCTCTACTCGGACTCCGTCCGTAAAAATGTCTGGGTCTCACCTCAAAGGCGATGATGAAGCCCAGGCGAATGGCCAGGAGTTTCCAGTAAAACAGGGTGTAGTTCCCGTGAGCATCGCGGAAGGCTTTGTACCTGTGGAGAGGCCACAGCAGATCAGCAGCATGGGGTGGAGGGAAGACCTAACCATGATCGCTGGCGATGGAGGCCCTCTGCTCACCTGCACATGGTATGGTTGCTGTTCACGTAAGCGGGTGGGGAGTAAGCCAGGGTGAAGTTCACATAGCCGTGGAGATGGCTGTCATACTCATATTGGTACAGGAGCCGTGGCAGGAAGTCCGAGGTGAAGGCAATGAGAAAGGCCTGGGGGTAAACAGGCAGGAGTGGCTGTCATTGGGGGGAGGGGGGCTTTCTGCTGTTTCACTCACAGCCCCAGAGAAGGTACGGACCCCCACATTCCCCCAGTAAAGGGATCTTGGAAGCTGCCGGTCAGTAGCTTGAGGATCTCAAGCTTCTTCTCGACTCACGTTGACAACGACGGAGATTTGTGCCAAGACCTCAAGGAAAAAGAACCAAACACTGATGTCCTGGGCACGCTCAGCCACGGGACGGCGGTACTCGCAGACAAATTTCTGGGCGTCCAGACGGATCTCGACCCAGTTATTGAGCAGGCGCTTCTCGCCCCGGTCGCCCTTTCGGCGGTGTTTTTACCACTACTTTGGTTTGACCTCGTGATTCCTTCTTCCCCGGTGCAAGTCACAGTGACAAAACGTCTTGGGATGCGTTAGGAGCCTTGCTGCCCGCCTTGTCCCGAGCACAGACGTTCTGACTGGTCTACAAGGAAACCCGCTGAGAAGGAAATAATGGAGGCTGTGTCATACTAGGCTAAAGTTTGGATGACCAAACTTTCACGGTGGAGAAGAACTGGAGGGATTTCAGTTATCCGAAACATATTAAGCCAAACGAAAGTGGAACATCCAATATAATTGGACTCGCTTTACTGGAAAGCTATCTTTTGGATGTTGGGAGGCTGGACAAGTCTGCTGCCCGCCCCTCAATTAGTGTAGCTCTTGATCTTTGGAGACCCACTCGTGGAAAGGATCTCCAGGTCTCACTGGACCAAGTGATGGCCTGAATCTAGACCCCTGAACTCCTTTTGCGCCTCTGTATCCCAAAGGAGCTTGACTCCTCCCTTCCTGCTCACCCATCTCCAGGTACTCCTCAAACAGGCCTTCGCATTCAATCAGTTCATAGTCTTCCTCCCACCGTTTGGGCTCCTGGCAGATCTGCCCTCCTCGCACCTTGGCCAGCTTCCTTTTCTGGTGCCAAGCCTTCAGCTTGCTGCAGGGAAAGAAACAGGACGCTTCGGTCTGGCTGTCCCCCTCAGCTGGGGAAGTGCCGCTCAATTCCTGGCACTCCTTTGACCAATCCACCTCGTCTCTCGGCCGTTTCCCAAGAAGGCAACTCACGGAACAAAGAACTCCTGGACGTTGCTGACAATCTGCTTCCCAACCATGATGATGAACAGCTGCTGGGCCAATTCGATCAGGCACCCGCCAGGACCGCACTGCAGGATGAGAAGAGGGGACATGTGTGTACCTGCGGCATTTGCACGTCATCTCTGTACATCGGGGACAACCGTTACGGTACAGCCAAAGAAAATGCATGCGCATGGAGTGGTTCTGCCCAATTCTTTGAGGAGTGGCCTCAAAGAAGGCACAAGGACTCACTGTGGCATTATACTTACATCTTCATTCCTCATGCCCAGGAGCTGTCCGTATCGGCCAGGGTAGCCCACAAACCTGCTGGGAAAAAGGGAAGGTATTGAAAAGGATGGAAAGTCAGGTCCAGCTCTGAGGATAGGAAGCCCAGTTCCTACCCAGAGCTGTGTGTTTTGTGTTAATGAACCCAACTCTGGACCGGCACAGACTTCCGACAGGGAGAGAGTCAAGATTTGGCTAATAAGATTGGAGGAAAACAGGTCTCTCTTCAAGAGGAAGGCCCAGCTCAGTGGTGGCAAACCTATGGCACGCGTGCCAGAGGTGGCACCCAGAGCCCTCTCTGTTGGCATGCATGCCACCACCGCCACCAGCAGGTCCATCAGGCTGCCACCGCCACCCAGAGCAGGAGCCCCGCCCAGCACAAAGGCAAAGCAGCCAGCTAGCAAGCTCGAGTAAAGGTGGTGAAGCAGAGGTCACCAACCATTGTCAATTGGTGGACTGGAAGAAAAGGGATGGGGAAGCATTTTACATGCGTGCATGCACACATGGGGCCACGAGCACGCACGCACTGCAAATAGAGCGGGGCTAGTGCCTGCATGATACTAGCCCTGCTCCGTTCTTGCGCGGTGCAGCGCCTTGGATCTGCACCCCACGGCGCGGCAGCGGCCGTTTTTGCGCCTTGCAGCACGGTGGTCCATTTTTTGCGCCCCTGGGTTTTGCATGCCAGAGGCAGCACTCAGAGGCGCCTCCCTGCCCCCCCCCCAGGGCACCACAATGCTGATGCGGCCCTGGCACTTTGCGATAAATAAGTGGGTTTTGGGTTGCGGTTTGGGCACTCGGTCTCTAAAAGGTTCGCCATCACTGGCCCAGCTCAACTCAGAGGCTCCTGGAGTCTGGTTTGGCGAGGAGGGCGAGATGGCGCAAGGACCTCTCGGAGGGAGCCTCCTTCCCTCCCTGCCTCCAAGCGGAAAGCTTTTCGCCGCGTCCCCTACCTGCCTTTGAAGAATGCCACGTAGAAAGGAGACGAGTAGAAGTTCACAAACTGGAAAATGAAAACTTTGAAGGTAAAGGCGTCCTCGTGCTGCGTCTGAGTCCGGTGCATTTCTGCAAGGAGGAGTAGAGGGGTGAAATGAGGACGAGCCAGATCAATCACAGATGCCGAAGGAATCGGCCCGGAGTGTTCTGATAGGTTCCAGCAACGAGAAAGCCCAATAATCGGCGGTAAAAAAAGTTCCAATTCTGTGAAATGTGTTCCCCCCCCACAATTTCCCAAATGACGTGAAATAAGGTTTTGAGTACTCTTAAAAGTGAAACACCCCGGGCTAATTGGCTACCCTTTGGTCGAACGACGGGAGTCTTCCACTCACCCCATCTGGTAAGCTTCTCGGCCAAGGAGGTGTAGACCTGGCTCATGAGAAGGATGAGCACCAGGTTCACCATGGAGCTGCTGATATTCGCAATGTTACCTGCCTGCAGGAACAGAGGGGAAGGGGTCCCATTTTACCCCATTGTCTCTTCCCTCCTCCCAGAGGGGGGCGTATTTCGCCCTGGTCTTTTGAACTTTCAGGGTACCCCCAGCTAGAACTGCAATAAAGATGCATACTGTAAAAACAAAAACCTGAAGGCTTTCAAGATAATATTTACACAGACAGTAATTTCAGATGACCATAACTTAGGTGGGTTTAGGACCACCAGCTGGAAGGGCAGAAGGCAGGTGAAAGCTTATCTTTGTACTACTGCTATTGTTGTCTTATGAGAGCCTTGTATTAGAGCCGGGGTCTTCAAACTTGGCCCTTTGATGACTTGTGGACTTCAACTCCCAGAATTCCTGAGCCAGCGTCCATTTTGTTTGTTAGATTTAAGACAGGGGTCTTCAAACCTGGTCCTTTGATGACTTGTGGACTTCAACTCCCAGAATTCCTCAGCCAGCGTCCATTTTGTTTGTTAGATTTAAGACAGGGGTCTTCAAACCTGGCCCTTTGATGACTTGTGGACTTCAACTCCACGTGTGCCTGGCTGAGGATTTCTGGGAGTTGAAGTCCACAAGTCATCAAAGGGCCAAGTTTGAAGACCCCTGAATTAGAGTGTTAGCGAACCGGACTGTGGATAATATAAAATCCAGCTCTGTCTTCCCTGACACATTTTTTCTGTGCAGACAGAAAGAGGAACGGCCCATAATTCTGTTCTCTGTGAAACCCTAAATCTGGAGAAAGGATATGGAACAGAGAAGAGCAACAAAGATGATTAGGGGACTGGAGGCTAAAGCATATAAGGAACGGCTGCTGGAATTGGGTATGTCTAGTTTAATGAAGAGGAGGACGAGGGGGGACATGATAGCAGTCTTCCAATATCTCAGGGGCTGCCCCAAAGAAGAGGGAGTCAAGCTTCTCCAAAGCACTTGACGGCAGGACAAGAAGCAACGGATGGAAACTGATCAAGGAGAGAAGCAACCTGGAACTAAGGAGAAACTTCCTGACAGTGAGGACAATTAACCAGTGGAACAACCTGCCTCCAGAAGCGGTGAATGCACCAACACTAGAAGTTTTTAAGAAGAGACTGGACAGCCATTTGTCTGAAAAGGTATAGGGTTTCCTGCCTGAGCAGGGGGTTGGACTAGATGACCTCCAAGGTCCCTTCCAACTTTACTACTACTACTACTACTACTACTACTACTACTACTACTACTACTACTACTACTATTATTATTATTATTATTATTATTATTATCATCATTATCATCATCATCATCATCATCATCATCATCATCATCATCATCTCTGGGGAGGGCCCAAAGGAGTCTTGAGGGCGGAGGAGTCCAAGTAGAGCCAACAGGGTAGCCCTCACCTGTGTCATCAGAACTCTGTTTCCAGTGTGGTACATGGCGGTGCTGACAATCCCCCGGTACATGATCACCGACACCAAAAAGATCATCACCACGCAGAGCTGAGGAGGAACCAAGACGAGAGAGGAGCATCAGGGATTGGGGACGGGGATCTCCTTCTCTCCTCCCCCCTCCCCACAGCAATACCCCTCACCATGATGACGATAGCCATGGACCCGGTCAGGATGCGTGATAGCCGGTCGTGCTTAGGGAAATAGGGCTCCTTCAAGCCTGTGATGGGGTTCTGTTCCAGGCAAGGGGCCATAGCAGCAAACTCCGGGCGAGGACGTTCCTAGGGGCAGGCAAGAGAAAGGGGGAGAGGAAAGGGGGAAAAAAATAAATCAGGGTGGGAACGAACAAGGAAGTGACCTTGTTGAACTCAATGGGAGGTTTCGTGTTGGTTTGTATTTTGTGCTTTCGGCTCGGGGCCAACACCTAGCAAGGGCCCGGAAGGTTGCCTGCAGTTTTCTTGGCAAGATTTCGGAGGTGTCTTGCCCTTGCCTGCTTCCTAGGGCTGTGAGAGAGTGACTGGCCCAAGATTGCTTAAGTCAGGCCTAGGGCAGGACTAGAACTCCCGGTCTTGCAACATGGTGCCTTAAGCACTACATCATACAGGCTCCCTCGATGGGAGTTATTCCCAGTTACGTGAGGCCGGTGACTCCCGCCTGGTCTCGTTACGAGCTGATTTGTGATCGGTACCCTTCCCCACATTATTCTGCTCTTGTACCGGAGTTCTCAGTAACAGGATTGGATGCCTTTCAGTAAGGCAACGTTCAGCTGGGCAGAATTACAGCTTCGTTGGTTGAGACAACCTCTTACTGTCTTTGGTAAACGGCCCCGGGAATGCCTGCTGGCCATCCAAAGATAAAAGGCGAAAACTTAATTGGAATTGTCCTGATATTCATCGTCGCCTCGTCTGTGTTTGGTGTGATGGTTCCAAGTGGTTTCCGTCGGGGTCTGCTGAGGCTCTCCTTCCTGCCCAGTGGGAGAAGGAAGGAACGAGGGCCGGCTGGCCTGGCCTCCCCCGTGGGGAGAGCAGCGGGAAGGGAGGAGCGGGAAAAGGACACTTGCCTCCTCTTCTTGGAAGTCCATGCAGTCCCAGTGGTGAGCCAGCGTGGCGTTTCTCCGCTTCCAATACTCCAGGAACGTCACAGCCCAGAAGGACATGAAGATGCTGAAGAAAACGGTCCCCGGATGGTCAAAGAGGTACCCAAGCTGTGGAGATGGAGAAACAAGAATTGGGAAAAAAAACAACCTCTCCCAGACTAGAGGATTTGCCAGCAGCTATCAACCCCATTCCTGAGGGACCAGCAAACCTGACCTGGGAGAGTCTCTATCCTGGCTTTTCACCACAATCTCAGGATTCACCCAAAAGCATCTCATTCCCAAGAGTGAATAATTCTGGGCTTGGGGCTTTGGATACTGGAAGGGGGTTTGCCCCCTCGTTCGAGTGCTTCCCTAGAATAGAGCTGTGGTCCTGTGGGATACTGAGCAAATTAATGAGGAATGGGAAAAAAAAAATAAGCTGCTGATATAGTTGGATAATTGTTCCCATTTTATGGAGGATCCGGATCGCCTGTGCTCTCTGCAACTGCACCAAGGTGGGACTTAAAATGGCTGCTGCGTGTCCGTCTCGGGAACCAATGGATCTCAGATCTTCTTTTTTTTCTAATTTATTTTATTAATTTTCTAATATTACATTTGCATATTTGAAAAGCAACGTGGCAGCTGAGTACAATAATTCCGTTCCATTTAAATGCCATCAATACAAATCTCACAGTATTACGACAACTAATTCCCTCTCTTTCCCCCTTAATATATAGTGTCTCATATTCAAACCAACACAATTCTTATTCTACACCAGGGGTAGTCAACCTTGGCTCTTTTATGACTCGTGGACTTCAATTCCCAGAATTCCTGAGCCAGCTTAGCTGGCTCAGGAATTCTGGGAGTTGAAGTCCACGAGTCATAAAAGAGCCAAGGTTGACTACCCCTGTTCTACACAATCAAACAGAAAATAGCTTTCTAGCGTTCATCAATAATCTTTAGTTTACACATAGCTTAATTAATTTAACATTCCATCTTTTGGACAGTCAACGGCTTAATACATTTTTCTCAATTTTAAATTTTCCATCAATATTTTAAATGTAATGGATCTCAGATCTTCTCCCTTGCTCTCCTTAAGGAAAATCTCTCCCCTGCCCCCCCAATTAGTCAGGTGACAAGGAAGCCGTGTTCCCCCTCAGTGATGGCCCCTCCCCGGAAGGTGAAAGAAGCCCCCTTGCCTTTGCCATGGGGCAGATCTCGGAGAGGTTCCAGTTGCCACAAGTGTCGCACAGAGGGCACATGAGGAAGTCTCCCCCACTCTTGCAGACCTCTTTCCTGGAAAAGGGGGGGGGGAAGAGAAGAGGGGAAAACTTTGGGAGGAAAAGGCTTTCGCAGAGTGCTGGAGCCTCGTCCCCCCCAATGCTATGGAGTGATTAATTAATACTGCTTATGATAATTAACCGTATCTATTACTGTTATCTATTGCTATATCTATTATTTAAATATATGTACCCAGACAATATATGTACCCTGTTTGCTAAATATTGTAAATGTTACTTGGGAAACCCTAGCCCAGTGATGGCGAACCTATGGCACGGGTGCCAGAGGCGGCACTCAGAGCCTTCTCTGTGGGCACCCGCGCCGTCGCCCCAGTCCTAGGCCTTCAGCTGGGTTTTATAAAACCTTTTCGCTTTAGGCCTCCGCCACCGTGTGCAAAAAAATAAATAAAAGGTTCAATCAATCAATTTCAACTTCTCGCGGGAAAAAAAAAGATCTCGCCAAGTTGGAATTGATTGATTGAACTTTTTAGTCCCACCCAGTCTGCCGTTACCACCGCAGCCACGCCCACCTAATGGGCCACGCCCACCCGGCACCTGATGATGCATAAGTGGGTTTTGGTTGCAATTTGGGCACTCGGTCTCTAAAAGGTTCGCCATCACTGCCCTAGCCCCAACCCCCAACCCTGACCCCAACCCTAACCTCAACCCTAATCCCAATCCTGACCCCATTCTATCCCTAGCCCTATAAAAACTAATAAAACTTTTTTTTTTTTTAAAGGATTCTGCTCTCCAGGAGATCTCTCCAGGAGGAGTCTAACAGCCCCTATTGATGCTCTGGTGCTCGGAGGTAGACTGCCCTTCAACCTGGAGGCTGCGTCACGGTAGATTGGGCCAAGTCAGTTAGAAAATGCAGGAAGAGGTTTGCATTGGGCCAAGATCTTTCTTCTACCGGTAAGTGTGCCCATAATAATAATGATGATGATGATGATGGTGGTGGAAGGGACCTTGGAGGTCCTTCTCCCACCTCAGAGGCAGAGATGCCCACTGGGCATGAAAGGACTGTGCCATGCGCAGGGGCAGGCTTCAGGCATGGGCCCTATATGCTCTAGGACAGGGGTAGGCAATCTTGGCTCTTTTATGACACGTGGACTTCAACTCCCAGAATTCCTGAGCCGGCCTGGCTCAGCTTGGTTTGGAGAGGGAAAGGGGAGTCGTACCGACCGAGTCCTTAAGACCCTCAACTTCATGTGGGTAGAGGTTCACCGGTTCCAACTCTTTATGTCCAGATCCGGTCCCCATCCGTTGGACCCGAGAAAATACTGAGCACCTGAAGTTGAGGGTCTTAAGGACTCAGTCGGTGTGACTTCGGAAAGGGAGAGGTTTCCAAGCTGAGCCAGGCCGGCTCAGGAATTCTGGGAGTTGAAGTCCACAAGTCATGAGGGGGTCGTAGTTCCCCCATGCTGGCTCAGGAATTCTGGGAGTTAAACTCCACCAGTCATAAAAGGGCCAAGTTTGAAGACTCCTGGTTTAAATATTTAAATATTTTTTCCTCACAGTCACATGATCAAAATTCAGGCATTTGGGCAGGGGTAGGCAACCTGGGCTCTTTTATGACTCGTGGACCTCAACTCCCAGAATTCCTGAGCCAGCCACGCTGAGGAGAAAGGGAGAGGTTTCCAAGCTGAGCCATGCTGGCTCAGGAATTCTGGGAGCTGAAGTCCACGAGTCATAAAAGAGCCAAAGTTGCCTATCCCTGCTTTAGGAAGAGCCTCATCGACAGCTATTTTCCGCGAACGAAACGGTGCTCCATAAATTTGGTGAACAAGTGCTCATTTTGGACAAGGAAGTAAACAACTCGCAGGAGAAAGATGTGACTCTCGGATGTCCACTCCTGGCAGCCATGTTTCTCCCCCCCCTCCCACCAGCGTCCTTCCACACTCACGCTGGCACGTTGGTGTCCAGGACGAAGAGGCCGGCGAGGAACACAAAGCTGCCAATGGCTGCGGCTGGGATCAGCCAGGCTGTGTAGAAGCCTGCAAGGAAGAGAAGGAGGTCAGGAAGAGCCCCCGGCCCCTTTTCCCCACCTAGAGGAGGTCATCTGTCAGAGATGGTAGTCGTGCCGCGCAGGTTCTGGCCAGGCTCAAAGCGTTTGAGATCGCAGCTTCCCACTTCGGAAGAATCGATTCGCAACATATGTTTAATTTGCTTTTGCGTGAAACCGCCTCAGGCATCTCGCCGTAGATGAAACCATAATTTTAAGCATGAGCTGAGATCGCACAAGACCACAATGTGACCCGCATAGGCACTAAATAAAGCTTAAAGTTAAAATGCATCAGGTGCCAATGAAATGCCAGTTGGGCTCATGGATCTGACCTTGCTAAGGGTCCGTGCAACATACTCTGTGGTCTTAAAGCAGGGCTCTTCCAACGTGGCCCTTTGATGACTTGTGGACTTCAACTCCCAGAATTCACACATGCCTGGCTGAGGAATTCTGGGAGTTGAAGTTCACAAGTCATGAAGGGGCCTTAGTTCCCCCATGCTGGCTGAGGAATTCTGGGAGTTGAAGTCCACAAGTCATCAAAGGGCCAAGTTTGAAGACCTCCGTCTTCAAGGCAAGTTGTTCCCAGAGTTTGCTCAAAACTTGATCGATGTTTTATGCTCTGGAAGGGGAGGGGGGGCTAGGCTGGGCAAGGGAAGCAAGACCTCCCCCACCCCCAGTCCTCTGGATGTGTCTCACCCAGCCAGGCAAAGTAGATGGCCACCTTCTCTCCAAAATATTCCCGGATGTGGTCGAGGGGTTGATACTTGTACCAGCAGGCCCAGCGGGCCCAAAAACGGTACAGGATCTGCCGGGGGTTCAGCTCTTCGCTCAGCACCTCAAAGTCCGGGAGCTCATAGGGGCCCTAGAGAGAGAGAGAGAGAGAGAGAGATTGAAGGGATACCCATCATCCACCAGGCAAGGAGGTCAGCCCCCAAAGACCTTGGCAGGGCTCTTAAAAGGCTAGATCTGGAATAGGAAACCCAGTAAGAAGACAGGTGTCAAACCACTTCTCCCTAAAAAAAAAAAAAAAAAGCAAATTGAAGAGATATTACCGGAAAGTGAGTGAAGGACTGCTTTGTGATGCTCAAAAATGCCAGGGATCATTTCCCTTTGTGGACCACAAAAGAGAAAAGGCAGGAAGGAGAGCTCTTTCCTTGACCAATGACCGCGCTGGGGCCAGAGAGGCAGGACCTCTGGGCCGAGATGGACCTGGCCCTTCTGGGCACGACCTCTCTGCTTTCCCGCTCTGCTCCCCGCCGGGAAGCCTCGGCGACCCACTTACCTCGTGCAGCGGGAAAGCGGCGGAATAGACCCCTTCGTTCAGCAGCCGGTCGATGCCTACTTCGGCGTGCTTCCGTTTCCCGTAAATCGTCCGTGCCAAGATTTCATACACCTGCAGGCGGGATTAACTGGTCATGCACCGGGACACGGAAAGCCAGAACAAGAACTAAGCACACACACAAAGAGGAAAGCTGTGTCAATGTTGGGCCATCGCCCAAGAAAGCGAGCCAACGGTCAAAACGGCAGAGCAAGGGAGGCCTTCCTCCCTCTGAGCTGGCCTCCTCTGCCCCAGCCCTTGCAACTGGGCTGGGGCTTCTCCCCTACGAGAGCTTACGATGCGATGCCTTTGCGTATTGGTGAAGTAGCTGTCGTGCAGATCACTGCCCAGGAACCTGGAAAAGAGAGCAGCAGCAGATTTAAGCCAAAAGCCGACGTAAAATGTTCTTCAAAGCCGAAAGGGGTTTTGTGGGGGTCCAGATGCCAGCCTTGACTGAACCGGCACTCTGTCCAGCAGTCCTTGCCTCCTCCCTTCAGCCGAAGGAAAATCCTACGAAGGGAACGATCAACTTTCCCAGTAAATTGGGAGCTGGAGAGCCCTTCTCCCAAGCCGACTCTCCATCTGAGCACACGTGTGCCCTTGCTAACCTGTCGAGCTTGGACTTGCGGAAGGCACAGGTGTAGTAGTCCACGGGCTTGTTAGGCACCCTCTGGTCCATGAGGTTGGGGATGCGCAGCTTCCGAAGCAGGTCGTCGGAACTATTTCTGTCTGGGTTGGGGTGAGCCTGGGAAGGAAAGAGGACCCATGTGGCGGGACAGGGAGGAAGTGGAGCTCCTGTGCCGCACTCCGAAACACACACCAAAAGAGCCCGGGACTTACTTGGAGAGGCGCTCGCATGCACAGCTCCTCGGCGTAATACACCAGCACCTCCCACGGGGTGCTGAGCTTCAGGTAGTGGATGCTCTTGTGTTCGCTCTGGGTCTCCTCCTGTAAAAGCAACCCACTGGGTTGGGGGTGGGTCGCGAAGAGAAGGAGGGGGGGACACCCCAAGCGAGGATTCCAGGAACCCCCAATTACAATCCAGCATTTTTCTATATGATGATGAGAGTGGACCTCTGCCCTCTGCCAAGCATTTGGGTCAATTCCACTTCATTGCGAAGGAACGTCAGGACTGGGATGATATTTCTGCCAACACCAGCCGAGTCTAGACAGTCTCTGATGCCAACGTGGCACTCCCTGTATCACCGCCACCCACGGGGACCTTTCCAAGCCCAGAGACCTTTCCTGCAGAGACCGCACCTTCTCCATCAAGAGGCCAGTGTTCCGCAGATTTTTGAGGAATTTCCGCTTCCATCTCTCGTGTCGCCCGTAGCGTTGGTCCCAGCCAGCTCTTGCGCCTGCCGCCGCCTCGCCCTGACGGTGCAGCTGTTTGCCACGCCTCTTCTTCGAGGGACAGGCTTTCTCCTCCCAAACCAGCACGAAATCTGCAAGCCAACCGGGTGGGCATTTTGAACCTTGGTCCAAAGGCTTCCATAAGAGGCTTACGTTATTATAAAACAAATTATTGCAAGCGTTCTAAATTCTCAGGCAGTGATTTGCCACGAGTTTTTCCCAGCTGATGCCCCTTGCCCTGGAAACTGGTTTCTAGCTTAGTTCGTCTTCGGTAATTTGGAAAAGAGCTGTCGGGAAGGAGTCCCGTTTCATCAAGGATTCTTGCTTTGGCCAAATCATCCGGATGAACTTGCGAACAAAAAAAACCCTGACATTCCCTCTGCTGGACTCTCCTGTGCTTGCGCCGAGCAAGGGTTCATTTAGGACAGCGTCCCAGGTCCCTCCCAGATCTATCCATTTATGCCACCAAGAAGTAGAAATACTCACCGATCTTGGTTTTCCCATCTCTGAAGTAATTTCCTCTGGGGCTGCTGGAAGAATCATAACCGTCTCTGCCGTAAATGTAGACCGTATCTTCCTCTTCCGCATCCTACCAATAAGAAGGTCAAGTGAGACCACATGGATAGAGACAGAGGACTCTGGGAAGCCTCTGGGGCCAGCTGATGCTGTGGGTCGAAAAACATGACCGCCAGGCAGGAGACACTGGAGAGTACCACTGTCCCGCATTAGAGGTTGTGTTTTAAGAGATCTCGGCAGCTTGGACCACAAATTTGGTGTATGTCTTCTCTCTCTTGTCCGCTTGCTTATAAACCCAGTGCTGCACCAGAGGCTCCTGTTTTGGGGTGATGGGTTGTGCCACACATCTCAAAGCATGGTTTTGGCATCGCCCTGGCAAGGATGCAGTTGCCAAGCTCTCCCTTTTCTCTACACGGCCTCCATGGAGACCGACAGCTCGATCATTTCAGGGTGCCGAATTCATTGCCCACTTGCCATCGCAAACAGCTGGCTTCCTTCCAGGTGGAAACCCACAACCCTTGCCCTCTAACTTCCCCGTTTTATTTGCACGGTGACAGATCGCATGCTGGGTCAGCTTATAAAGCTTCCAGGCGCTCCTGGGGAATTTGAATCTGCCCCCCGTTCTCTTGTGGGAACTTTTAACAGGTCGCCCCCTGAGGGCTTGCGTGCTGAGAGCATGCACAGAGTGCTTTCGCCCGCTGACGCCGTCGCGGCCAGATCCCACAGCCGTCCCTGAGCAAAACGATCCTGGCGGGACGGAAGGGTTTTTTTTTTTTTAAACAAAGCCCAGTTGGATCCCATCATTTCTCTTCCAATCCGCTCTCCCCGTGTACTTACGAAGCTACCGGTGGAGGCCCCATTTCGAACGGCTCCGGCATCGCTGAAGTGGGCCCCGGAGCAGCTCTTTGACACGCTGAGTAGGAGGCTGGCATCGGCTGGACTCAGAGCAGACGCTTTCTTGCGGATCATGGTGTTTGGCAAGGGAAGGACGCTCCGAGACCTGCTTGCTTCTTCCCGTCAGCTCTTGGCCATGCGTAGGGAGAGGCCGGGAGAGGAGCCCAGCAACGGAAGGTGCTGTTGTTGGGGGTGGGGGGGCTCCCACCCTGCTCTCAGCTCATCCCTGGTCCTGGAACCTGCTGTGGAGATGCCTGTGCAGCATCTTCTGGAGGGGGGGGGGGCAAAGCGCTGGCGTTGTCCGTGTACCAACAACAACAGTCACCTTCCTTGGTGAAGGGGGCAGCGGGGAGGCTCCTTCCCTCCCGCCTGCCTTTCAGGGCAGGTCCCCGTGATGCCGCCTGCCTGCGTAGCTATGGAAATCAGCTAAGAGCTGCTGCTTCCCAGTCTCTCTTTCCCAGGCTGGCTCTGCGGGGCTGGAGGAGGAGGAGGAGGGGCTGCGCAGCAGCAGCAGCAGCAGACCAGAAACCATGGCAAAGAAATTGGCCAGCCAGTTTCTATGCCCGGGAGACAGAATGCCCTTCTGCTCCGAGCGGACACACATGGCAACGGGCAGGGAGCTTGCCCTCCCCTTTGGATGTAAAGAAGGTTGTTTGGCAGGGCGATGAAGATGAGGGGAGGCTTGGGAACCAAACCCCGGATTCTCACCTTTTCAGCCAAATGACTCCCCTTTAGACTTTTCCTGTTGGGGTTTGCGTGTGTTTGTGTGTGTTTGTGTGCGCGCCTATCCATTATTGTCCGGCTGGAGCATCGCAAGACACACACACAGAATCCAGCTGTCCTATGAATCCCCGCCAATAACTGGTTTGGCGTCGTGCTTAGCTTCCACCAGACATTGAAACATAATTGAGTAAGAGAGGATGCACAAAAGGTTTGTGAAAGCTCTCCAACAGGAATTGGGGTAAGGAAGGGAAAGACGCCCGGTTGTTTTTAAGCATTTAAACCAATCCTGAACCTCCTATGAAACTTGTCCAGTGGAACTCCTTGCCTCCAGAAGCGGTGAATGCTCCAACACTGGAAGTTTTTAAGAAGAGACTGGACAGCCATTTGTCCGAAATGGTATAGGCAGTGATGGCGAATCTTTTAGAGACTGAGTGCCCAAAAACTGGCCCTGGTCCCGCTCTGCCCCCCCATCCCCCGCCCCACCTGCCCACAGGACCACTCACCACCACTGCCCTCCGCAGATCGCCCAGGCAGCCCAGCAGCGCTATGGCGGCCACACCCTCTGCCCGCGCCCTGCAGCATCAACTGCATGATGGGGTGTGAGGGCAGAGTCTTGTCTACGCTGCCTGGCTGCCATGTCCTTGTGGGCCTTGTGTGGCCTGTTCCGTGTGGGCCACGCTTGAGGGCGAGTCTCCCTCGGGGGCTGCTGGAGAGAAGGGGGTCGCGGGGGGAGAGCAAGGCTGGGGCAATGGCACGTGTGCCCACAGAGAGGGCTCCGAGTGCCGCCACTGGCACCCGTGCCGTAGGTTCGCCACCACTGGTATAGGGTTTCCTGCCTGAGCAGGGGTTGGACTAGATGACCTCCAAGGTCCCTTCCAACTTTTTTATTATTGTTATTGTTATTGTTATTATGGATCATCGCACATTCAGCCAGATGTTCAGACTGGATTTGGCATTTTGTCTACCTATCGAGTCCTCACCAAGGACCTGGGATAGGCAGATGTGGATGTTGGATGGTATTACAGATCTCGTCGCAGGATGGAAGCAGTTCCTAGTAAGGCTGCCTTTTGCAATTGACTAATGGCGAATGTGTCAATGCCGATGATGGTGTTCAAGTGGTGCTCCAGTTGTTTTGGGATTGCACCCAAGGCGCCTGTTACTATTGGTACTACCCTTGCTTGCCTTTGCCCTAGTCTTTCTATTTCTATTTGTAGGTCTTTGTATTTTGTTATCTTCTCCAGTTCTTTCTCATCTATCATTGTTATCATTATTATTATTATTATCAGAAGATATTCTCTTTTCTTTTTGCTTGTGCAAAGCCCCATTGGACGGCTTTGAAGATGGGCCGATAACCAGGAGGACTGCAGCCTGCAATCCAGAAGCGCTGCTCTCAAAAGAGGTCCATTAAATATTAACCCTGATGCTTTGAGAAACATGCCCAGAAGGCAAGTTGATCTGCTGCCGAGGCAGGAGGCCCAGAAGCCCCTATCCATTTCAGACGCATCAGCCTCGCAGGAAGGGAAATCTGGAAGGGCGAAGGCTGTGATGGGGCTGCCCCCTTCTGGCTGGAAGGGGAAGCGACTCCCTCCTGACCAGGCCTTGGGGCTCCGACTGCTCGCTCCCTACTACAAAGATGTGCATCTGGCACGCTGCCAGGCTACTTTTTGGCCAGACACACCATTGGAATCGACGCACCAAGGACGGTGCTTGCATTGCTGAGAGGAGAGAGCAGTTGGCTCTCCCCTTGTCGTCACGCCGGTGGCCCAAGAGCAAGCTGCAGGGACTTAAAGTGCCTAAACATCAGACCGAGCCTTAGCAAGCGCCGTTTTTTACAAATTTATTCCACTTTCTTCCTGAATCGCTGAGCCTGCACTGAGAAGTCAGCGACAAGCCGAACAGCAAAGTGAAGGGACGGCAATCAGCAAGAACCCCAACGTTAACATGAGTGGACCACAAGCGAGCGCAACCCTGTTGTAGAGGAAGACTATATGTGGTTCCTACACAGGTAGTCCTCGGCTTAAGACCACAGCTGAGCCCAACATTTACGTGGCTAATTGAAACGTTTATTCAGCGAGCTTTGCCCCATTTTACGACCGTTCTCGCTACCGTCGTAAAGCGAATCGATTTGCAATTGTTAAGTTAATAACACGGCTGTTTAAGTGAGTTTGGCTTCCTCCATTGATTTGGCTTGTCAGAAGGTGAGGAAAAGGGGATCACATGACTTCCAGGATACCGCGACTCTCGAACCAGTGGCAAAGCGTCCGAGTTTGGATGGTGTGACCAATGGATGCTGCCACGGTTGGGAGTGTGAAAAATGGTTCCTAAGTCACTTTTTTTTCAGTGACGCAACTTTGAACCGTCATTAAATGACCTGCTGTGTCTGTATACATTATGCACATTTATAGAGACGTACAGCATCTAAGTTCAAAATATTTATTAACTCGCTTGCACGAAGACAGTGGAAAAAGGGACCGAACGTGGACAACAAAAATGTGCGCTGAATATTGACTTGCTCACGACGACCTCCAGAAAGAGGTGGGAGTTTTCCTGGGGCGTCTGTGGCCAGAGAGAATTCAGGGCTGAAAAACTTCCCTTTTTTCCAAGCCGATCAAGACCCAGTTCTGCTCTTTTGCCTGGCAAGAGAAGCCTAGCACGAATCCTGCAACACTCTTGGGAGCCTTACAAGTCGGATCCGTGGAGGTCTCCTCCCCCCCCCCCCCAGGCTGCCTTCTGTCCCGCTCTGCCTCCTTGGTGCACTTCTACCACCGAGGGAACCCAGAATTCAGCCCCAGGGGTTTCCCTGCCAGCAGATGCAAAGATTGGGATTTACAGGCCGTGAAGAGCCATCGTTGTGCTGAAACAAAGCCCTTGCAGGGGAAATGAGGATTTCATGGAGCCAGCGCTTCCGGGACGGCAGGGCTCGCCCCTCGGGGGACCAGGCCGGCAGCCACCTGGTCCTGCCTCCAGAGATGCTCTGCGAGGCTGTTCAAGAGATGGGCCACCTCGACCAGGCCGGCGTATCCGTCCGAGTGCCGCTCGCCGACACTCTTTGTCCGTAAGATCGGCAAACCCCAGGTGCGGGAGAAAGCCGCCATGTCCGATTCCGTCACATCCGTGTGGGCAAACTGGTCGAACCTGGAGACCATTTGGTCAAGGAAGCTGAATCGCCAAGCACTAAAGGAGGGGACCGTCCAAGCCGAACTTGGCCTAAGCCGATTCTTCGGCTCGGGACTGGGCTACAGGAATGGATGCTGCCTGTCTTAGGCCTTCAAGGATTGCTAAGTATTTTAATCTAATGGGTTTATTTCTGTTAAATTGCAAGATTTCTTCAATCGAGGAGAAGCTGCAGGAAGGAAAAGGCGGATACTGTGAAAAAGCGTCACATTTCTGAAAAAAGGAACAAATCTTAAAAAGGGCCGACTACACTCCTGCCCCCCCTTCCAGTCTGGCGAGAAGCCCCTTAAGGATACTTGGTGCCCACGACCATCCGGACCACATCCCTGGACCCGTCTGTCACGCGAGAGATTTGCTGAGGGAGGTCGAGAAAGGAGGCCCGATCCGTGAAGGAGAACAAGAAGAGTATGGCGTCCGCTTTCTCTCTGCAGGCCTGCAGGGAAGGGAGGAAAAGTGAAGGGCTGCCAAGTCGGAAAGGCAACGGGTGTCTCCATGTGGCCTTGTCATCATCCTCCCAAGAATGCTGCCTGGCCCCGAAGCCCCCCTGCCGCCTCTCCGCAGACCGACTCACGGGTAAAATGTGGTCAAACTTTCTCAGCAAGGCCTCGCCACAGTCCCAGAAGGAGAACTTGAAGAAGAGCACCCTGCCGCTGTCCCGCAGCTTGGCTGGCCAGTAGACCAGGCTGGTCTGGATCCCTGAGAAAGAGCCGCTTCAGCTGGGGACGTGACTCCCAGGAAAACCCCCTGCCTCCGGAGAGGGTCCGGAGCTGCCACCTCGCAGAAGGGAGGGTCCCCACTCCCTGCCCCGTCCCGTTTTCCGAAGCCTCTGCCCTTGCTTCTCCTTCATCCCTGGACTTTATAGGCCAGGGGTCCTCCACCATGGCCACTTTAAGACTGGTGGACTTCAAGTCCCAGAATTCCTCAGCCAAACTCTGCTCCCCTATCCTACCAACATCTTTTTTAGAAATCCAACTGGTTCTGATTTTTTGAGATAAGCGGCCTTGCAGGGCTTGTAATCAACTTTGAAGGCCTCTCAAAGCAGTTCTCTCACTCAAGGTGTATCTAATGTGTTGAAGGCTTTGAGTTGGCTTTGAGTCTTCTCTCCTCTAGACTGGCTCTTTTGCAATAGACCTGTTTCCTTCTCTGCTTTCCCAGGGTCTGTTACACTTAGTAGTAGTAGTAGTAGTAGTAGTAGTAGTAGTAGTAGTAGTAGTAGTAATAGTAATAATAACAACAGTAATAACAGTAATAACACTAATAACAGTAATAATAGTAATAATAATAAAGTTGGAAGGGACCTTGGAAGTCATCTAGTCCAACCCCCTGCTCAGGCAGGAAGCCCTATACCATCTCAGACAAATGGCTGTCCAGTCTCCTCTTAAAAACTTCCAATGTTGGAGCATTCACCGCTTCTGGAGGCAAGGAGTTCCACTGGTTAATTGTTCTCACTGTCAGTAAGTTTCTCCTTAGTTCTAGGTCGCTTCTCTCCTTGGTTAGTTTCCATCTGTTGCTTCTTGTCCTGCCTTCAGGCACTTTGGAGAATAGCTTGACTCCCTCTTCTTTGGGGCAGCCCCTGAGATACTAGAACACTGCTGTCCTGTCCCTCCTCATCCTTCTCTTCCTTAAACTAGACAGACCCAATTGCTAGATCCTGACTTATGGAAAACAACCCCATAGAATAAAGGCAAGGAAAACTTTAGAAAAGATCATAGTTCGTAATGGATAAAAAGGACAGGGGAAAGAGACACTAGCAAGGCAATGATCAGATAAACAGAACTTGAGCCCAGACCAAGAAAATAATTAGCAAAAAATAATTGTGGGAGTTGGAAGTCCATCAGTCTTAAAGTGGCCAAGGCGGAGGACCCCTGCTTTAAAAGGCCAGTGGCCCCCAACCTTTTGGGCACCGGGGACCGGTTCCATGGACAGAGGTTTTTCCGCGGACCGCAGGGGGCTTGGCCCAGTTGTGCAACCCAGTTTCTGGCATGCCCGGCCCGGTGCCTGTCCACGGGCCGGGGGTTGGGGACCCCCTGCTTTTGCTTTTGGGGGGCGGGGAGGGAGGAGGGAGGAGGAGGAAGCGGGCTCACCTGTGGTCTCGTGATGCCCCAGGGGCGCCTGCAGCCCGGCCAGCTTGGCCACCAGCGCGCTTTTGCCCACGCCGCTCTTGCCGGAGACGAAGACCTTGTAGCCGGCTACGTCGGCAGCGGCGTGCGGAGCCAGCACCGGCCTCTCCAGCAGCCCTGCGCAGGGAGGAGCCCCTTCAGAAGACCGGCTCGCCCTCTCTCGCTGCCGCCGGCTCCCTCGGCCCCCAGCCCCGGCTTGCGAGTGGCCGAGGCTCCCGCCCGAGCGACCTCACCGAAGCTCCGGCGCTGCCTCCGGCGCAGCAGCGCGCCCATGTAAGCTCTGCCTTCCTCCGTGCCGGCCCAGTCCGCGTCCACCACGGATCCCGGGCGGACCGTCATCCCCGGCATCTTCCGCGCAGGCCGCCCCGTGGAAGGGCTACCTGGATCCCCGGGCGGCGAGAAGGCGCTAGGACCCAGCGCGGCTGCACTTCCTTCCCCTCGCGCATGCCCGAATCGGCCCCTCGCTTCTTCCGCCAGGAGTCGTGGCCACGCCCCCTGGCATTCCCGGAAGCCCGGCGCTGTCGGCGGGAGCCGGGCTGGCTGTGGGGCGGCTCAGCTCCCCAGGCGCCCTCCTGGGCGGGGCTTAGCTGGTGCCCCTTCGGCAGGGGTAGGCAACCTCGGCTCTTTTATGACTGGTGGACTTCAACTCCCAGAATTCCTGAGCCAGCATGGCTGAGCTTGGAAACCTCTCTCTTTCCCCTCAGCATGGCTGGCTCAGGAATTCTGGGAGTTGAAGTCCACAGGTGGTAAAGGCAGCACAGTTGCCCAGCCTTGTTCTAGACCAGGGCTAGGCATCCTTGGCTCTTTTATGACTGGTGGACTTCAACTCCCAGAATTCCTCAGCCAGCCATGCTGAGGAGGAAGGGAGAGGTTTCCAAGTTCAGCCATGCTGGCTCAGGAATTCTGGGAATTGAAGTCCACCAGTCATAAAAGAGCCAAGGTTGCCCACCCTTGCCCTTCGGGAAGGCCGTCCGTCCTGCGAGGAGGGCGGAGCGGCCAGCTTTTCTTGCAAAGCGCCGGGGCTCCGCCGTTTGCTTGGCCTGGCAGCGGGCAGGAGGCTGGGCAGGGTGGCACCCGACTTCGCTCTTCCCTGCCAGGGCCTGGAGGCGACTGCCGGGGCTGTTGCTCCTGCAGGCCCCCCCCCGAGGGAACTGAATTTTTTTGGGGGGGGGAGAGACGGGGCGCCATCCTTTACGGATCCCCCCCCCCGGCCAACGCAGCAGACGGGGATGCAACCCCTTCTTCTGGGTAGGGCTGCGAGCCAGATGACTGGTGCTGCAGCTGGCAAGCGCAGACTTTCCGTCGAAATGCAACGGATTGGATTCGCTGGAGCTGGAAACGGCTCCTGCCTGCGGCGGGCGAAAGCCGTACGCCGCCCGCAGCCTTGGGGGGGGGGGGGAAACAAGAGGCTCCCCGAGAACGGCCCGGCTCCTCGGTCTCTCCCGTGGCTGTCTTAGTCCTTCCGAGCGGGTGCAAGGTGGAAAGGCCTGGGAGGGCACGGCCAGGTGTGGCGTCTAGGTGGGGCGACTGTGTGTGTGTGTGTGTGAGTGTGTTGTTTTTGTGTGCGGGGACTTTCAGTGCCCTGCCAAACTGCTCCTCCAAGGGGCTCAAAATAGCCCCGCAATCTTGGCAGCCAGCCAGGAAGCTGCCAAGCGCAGCCTTCTCTTCTGCTGGGAAAGGGAAAAAAAAAAGTCCCGCCGCCTCTCCAGGGAGTGTGGGAAAAGCCACAGGCTTTTGGAGCAGGAGGGAGCTGGCAATCCGCAGGTCTACGAGCCCCCCACGCAGGATTCTCACCAAGGGCAGCTGCCAGGAGCCCACCCTCTCCCCCCACCTTGCCCAAATGCCTCCAGCTGTTATGAGGCTTTTTTTTTACTGGAAATTGTGCAGCTTATCAAGCATGCCGCATTAAAGAGAACATTCTGCATCGGAGAAGGTGGATTATATTACCACCACCCCCAAAAAAAGTGTCCCCCTTGTCTGAATTGCAGGAACTCACTGAAGCCGTGGGCCTTTCGAGTGGGATGTGTTGAGCACTGCCAATCAAGCCGGGGGTCTGCCCAACAGCCTGGCCTCACCCTCACTGCAGCTGGTGCCACCCTCCCGCTTCTTTCACAGTGGGTCAGGTGGCTGATAGCAAGTGTGCTCAGCTCTTGCCCCCCCCCCCATTTCCTCATTTGGGGCTTTATCAGACTAACTGGGGTGAGCTGGACCTCTCCCCAAAGCCCAAAGCATTATGGCAACGCCCTCCTTGCTTGCCCTGCTGGGTCTCCAACCTACGCATGACTCTCCACCCTGTAAAGGCAGCTTTGGCTCATAGGCTGCTCTGAGTGAGAGAACAGGCAGACCCCCAGGGAGTGGGGAGCCCCTGGCGGCTTCTGCTTCTCCTGGAGATCCCCTTCAAAAGCCCAACTCCCACCCAAAGACTAGGAGAAGGCCGTAAGGGCAGAGGGCCATCCCTAAACCAGGACTGGCTTTTGGTGCCCGGCCTGGTCCCTTCCCTTTGGAACTTGGCGTTGGCCCACTGGCATTGTAACTGACTTGAGGGCTTGGCCTCTTGCCCCCGGGCTGCTTCTGCACACAGGGCGGCCACCGTGACTTTCCCGCCTGCCCTCGGCTCAGAGGTCACCCGGCTACGGCCAGGTCCTGCTCGGTCGGGTGTCTTTGAGCCTGGCATGCTTTGTAACTGCCCTCTTCTCTGCTAGGAAAGGGGCTTCGGTCCTCGCACTCGTGCTGGGAATTGGAGGAGAGAGCCTCGGTGCCATTTGCTTAGATCTCTTTATTAGTGGGTGGAATGCCACATTCGCAGCCTGCTTGACAGCGTGCCCGGGGCAGGGCTGACTGGTTGAGGGGAGCCCCCAAGCCAGGGCAGCGGAAGAGGGGGGAGGCCCGCGGCCGCATTATCTCTTGGCCCGCACAAAGTACAAGGCGTTAGTTTTGGGATAGTACTTGACATTCTGCTTCTTGTCCATCAAGCCGCCAAAGATGATGACTTCCCCCCGCCCTTGGACCACCGTGTGCAGGCTGGTCTCGGGGGGTCCCACCACGGAGCTGCCGTGGAACACCTTCCACTGGACTCGTCCACGCCCCTTCACCTCCTTGATGTCCAGCACGTACATCTGCATGGGCTTGCAGTTCACGCTCTGGTAGAGGGGCTTGCCTACGTTCAGTGACTGAGGCGGATGATGGCCCAAGCGGCGAGCAATGGGTGGTAAGGCGTGCCCGTCTCCTTGGGCAGAGCTGGGTCGAGGGGTGGCGGGAACAGCTGCTTCGGCAGGGTTGGCACTGCTCTGGCTGCCTGGGGATCCCGGCGAGGACACCCTGGGCGGGCTTCTGACCGCCAAAGTGGGCAGGGCCTTCGAAGAGAGGGCTTGAACCACCTCCAGGCTCCGCCGCAGCGCACTAGGAGAGATCCCTCCCATCAAGGAGCTGGACACCTGAGGCGGGGTGTGAATGCCGTTGGTCTGATCCGGGGGATTCCTGAGGCCTAGCGTGCCAACCGTCCTGCTTTCTGCACCATCCGGCTGGCAAACCAGAGAAGGGGCTTTGGCCTCCCAGCTCAAGTCTACGGCTGCCAGTTGCAGGTCCTTTTGATCGGGGAGGGAGCCCCGCCTGGATGCCAAAGAAAGGCCCGCCTTCAGATTGTAGCCTTCTGCCACGGAAGCCGTGCTGGGCGAGAGCAGCTGGAGAAGAGGGCTGTCTGGAGAGGCCCCGCCCACGGCGGCTGCGGTGCCGGGGGACAAGGCCTCGCCGCCATTCAGCACCGGTGAACTGTCCTCTCTGGCCGGTGACAGGCTTCCTTCCCGGGACCCGCAGGGCGTCTGCCTCTGCCCCCGGGGTCTCAGGGTGCCCCAGCGGCCGTTCACGCAGGGAGCCTCGTCTGCAGTCTGAACGGGAGACTGAGAGCGGCATTCTCGTGTCTCGGGAAGCAGGGCGGGCGGCGTGGCGCTGATGGGAGAAGGACGAGAGTTCAAGCTCGGGCTGAGCGGTGCCCTCCCGCTGGGGGCTTGGCTGAAGACGACCACGCACTGCCCCACCTGGAAGAGAAGAAGCAACTAGCGCGGGATGGACACAGGACCCACCGTGCAGAGCAGCCTCCCCAGAAACTCCTGCTAACAGCTGGGCTCCACGTAAGACGGAAGGTAGGGGGAGAGAAGAGGATCCCTCTGGGCCTTGCGCCCACCAGAAAGCGCCACGCTGCTCCTCAGTGAGATGTTTGCCCCATCAGGCAGCCCGGAGTGCATGCGTCACACTCTTAAAATCGGAGCTGCCTCCCCCCTTTCTGGCTTATTATGAGGAAGGAGACTTTCACCAGGGATTCCTTTTGCCCTTCCCTCCCGTTCACCTTGCAGGCCGGGTGGCACCACAGCTCAGGGGCTCCGTGGTCCTCGTTCTCCACCTTCAGTGGCTGCCACGTCCAGGGACGATCGGATCGCATATGCAGCAGCCAGGCGTCCTTGAAAAGCTGCAAGTCGGGTGAAAGCTCAGACACCCATAGGACGGGACATACACGCACGCACACACACACACACACACACACCGACCGCCTAGCTTTCCTCTACATTAGTTTTCCTCCCGAGAGCAGATTTTCCAGTCCTGAAAGCTTTTGTCCCCTGTCTGGCACGCTCCATCTTTCCTCCTCCTGGGGAAGATGTACACATGGCAGTTTCTGCTTCGTCTCCCCGAGGAGCAGGAGGAAACCTTGGCTAGGGGCAACTCGGACCTGGCGGCTGGAGGACGCTAGCAAGCTGTGCATCGCCCGTGTGTTGACCGGAGACGCCGCGCCAGACACAAAAGTCTCGGAAGAGCAGAAAAAAGGGGGTAAATGGCCAGCTAACCTAGCTTTGTCTACTCACCGCATTTGGACCCCCGCAGCCCCCAAGAATCAGAATGGTTTCTTCGTCTATGATAATCTGTGACACACAAAAGGGAAAGAAGAGTCAAAAGGCGTCACCCAAAGAGCCCCAAGAAGACCTGGCTAGCACTTCCGCTGGAGTGGAGTGTGTGTGTGGGGGTGCTCATTCCCGCCCCATTTGCAAGCTGAGCTCAATTTCCCAAATCTATGGAGGGGAGACTAATCTGCCCCCTCTTCCCATTTCCAGTGGGAATGGGAAACGGTCTGCCAGCCCCTGCTCCCACTGGGACCTTCTTGGCTCTGGGAAGGCCTGTCTCCGGGCGTAACTTTGCGCCCAGGGGTCCCAGTTTCCATCTCCGGCCAGGAAGGACTGCGCCGGGGGCGGTTGCTTGTCTCCCTCTCAATCTTACTGGAAAGGCAAAAGGCTTCATGTGGGGGTTGGAAGACTTCGTTCCCTTGGGAGGAAAAGCGGGACAAAAAAGCCGCCTGCCCCAATTTCTGGCGAGCGCTACCGGCACGTTACCTGGGACTGGCCTCCTCGCGGGTGAGGCCCAGGCCCGGAGAGGCTCGGCTTGGACCAGGTCCAGTGCTCCAGATCAAGGACCCAGACATCGCTGCTCCTGCGGGGGAAGAGCGAGATGGGAGGAACTCGGACGGCTTTCCGGGGAGCTTCGAACTCCAGAAGAAGAGGAGCGTCGGAGACTTACATCTGCCGGGACCCCAGGGAGCCCCCAAAGACGATCATCCGGTCCTGGATCACGCAGGAGGAGTGGCCAGCCATGGGAGGAGGGCCGTGGGTGGTCACCACGCAGTTCCACCTGGAGGAGAAGGAGGAGGAAGAGGAGGGTTGTGCTCAACAGGCGGGCAGTGTACGTGCTTGCCCGGCTCTTTGCTCGGCAAAAAACCAAGAGCTTGGAAACAGCTCGACAGTCTTACCAATTTTTGGAAGGCGAGTAGGTGTGTATTTCGTCAAAGAATCTTTCCGGCTGATGCAGGGGGTAAGGGCTGGGCCGCGTCCAGCCACCAAACAGCACCAGCAGGTCCTTATACACCACGAGGGTCGCTCCGGCTTTCGGCGACGGGTAGGAACCTGCAACAGGAGAGGGTGTTGTTGATTTTTTTTAAAGCAATGTCGCCGAACAGATTCCGGGCGCTCACCGGGCGCAGCCAAATAAAGCCTGGCGCTTGGGCAGGGCGGCTTCCTGCCTCAGAGCCACAAACTGACCTGTAATAAACTGTCTGTCCAACTATTTGAAATGGCCACGATCCAGTTTGTCTTCATTGGAGGCAGGGGTCTAATTCTGACTGGGAGGCCAACAGACCCTTCCTCTTCCCCTACCTTTGATAGGGGTGACTGACTTTACTTGTAGGCAGTAAAAACAGATTACAGTCCTGCTCACAGGTTGCTCTCTTCACAGCTATTTACTTCCCAAGGGTGGCACTCCCTCCTGTTTGCCAAAGGGCTTTAAACGAGGCAAGGGGCCACTTAAAATGAGCGACAGAGGCAAAAGCCACTTCAGAGACCCTGATTGGGGAGGGGGGAACCGTATCCTTCCCTCCAGATAGGCTCACGATGGCCAGGGAAGGGCCGATAACACACAATCCACTTGTCCTGGGGGGGGGGGAAGAGGGCCCAGGTGCTAGCTCAGCTGAGTGGGGAAGCAGCAGGTGAGCCGGCTGCTTTGGGCTGCTGTGTTCAAAGCTACTTCTCCTCTTTCCAAATTTCATGGCTGGCCCTGCATGACGCTCCTGGCAAGAGAAGGAAGGAAGGAAGGAAGGAAGGAAGGAAGGAAGGAAGGAAGGAAGGAAGGAAGGAAGGAAGGAAGGAAGACCTGCCGTTGGGCAGGGCAGAGAGTCTGGAGCCAGAGGAACCGAGGCTCCCTCCGTCTTCCATCCTGGTTCTCTTAAGACTTCCCGAGACGTGGAAGGAGGCCGAGTCCAAAGAAAGCAAGCCTGTCGCCAGGAATACACAGACAGGCATCAGCACTTTTCCGTCTGAGAAAACGGGGGTGGGGACGGTCCCTTGCCCCCCTCCAAAAAGCACTATGACAAAGGTAAATGTGGAGACGTGTGTGTGTGTGTGTTTGTGTGTGGCTGACTTTGCTGCTTGGGAAACTTGGTCCTACTGACATGTTCCAACACGACCCCGGGGATCCAAATTGGGGACGGGGCTATTTGTGGCCCGGGCCTATCAAAAGAACCGTCCCCAGACTTTTCTAAAATAGGTACCTAAAGTTAGAGCCTTGGACAACCCGGTGGGGGCTCTGGTTAGCAATTCCCCGGAGAAAGCTGAACCGAATTCCGCACGAGGCGGAGAAGGCCAGCGGAAGGGAGGCCTGGCCCAAAATAGGTCCCTTGGCCTGCCGGGAGAGCTCAGAAAACCCCCCAAACAGCAGGGGAGCCCGAGGGCCACAGAAGCAATCAAGGAGAAATTGGGGGGGGGGGCTTTCCTATAAGGCAGGCTATGATTCCCTTTCCTAGCAGTCTGATGTGTGTCCCGGAACCGGCTGAATTTCCAGGCGCTCGTAAGACACTTCCTGCCTTCCTTTGCCTACCAGCGGCGTCTGTGTCTGGGAATTCAGCTCCCAGGGTCACTTAATCCTATCGATGGGGGGGGGGGGGGGAGAACAGCTTCCCCCCCCTTCCTCCGGAAGCTATAATTGCCCGCTCTTTAAATTAAGCAGTTAAGCGGTGTGGCTGTTTGAAAGGCAGCCCTGCCTCTCTTTAAAAGGGAAAGTGTGAGAAAGGCCCAATTTAGCTCTTAAGAATCCCTTGTCGGGAGTTTGGGAATTGGGGAGGTGATAAAGCAACCGCATGACTCCTGCACAAAGGTATTTTATCGTTTGGGCTCCAAACTTTGCTAACTAGAGATTCTGTAGAACAGTGTTTCTCAACCTTGACAATTTTAAGGCATGTGGACTTCAACTCCCAGAATTCCACAGCCAGCAATGCTGGCTGTGGAATTCTGGGAGTTGAAGTCCACATGCCTTAAAATTGTCAAGGTTGAGAAACACTGCTGTAGAATCTCCCCATTCTGATAAAGAGCTCCCACCACTGGAAACCAAGCGCTGCTTTTCAGAAGATTCACAGGGGGAACTCTGGAGCTGACGACCCAGCGGCGCTTGCTGGGCCGGCACACAAACCGTGGGGCGATGTTGTGGTGCCCAGGGGTGCTTCTTCCCATGGCTGAGCAGACCCTGCCCAAACAAAAACTGGGCCGCAGGGATCAGCCACCATCTCCCTGAAGAGATGGATGCTGCCCCCAGCCTCAAACCTCAAAGTCCCCCCCCTTTTCCCTCTTCTCCAAAGGCAGCGCTGGCCAAAACCAATGTTGGCTTGTGGTTAGGGAAGGAGACAGTGCTTGGGCTGGGATTCTTGCTGCATTGAAAAGGCCTCTTGAGAACGCATTTTGTATTAACATGCAAAGTAAACAGCTTGGGATTTGAATAGGCAAAAAAGAAAAAAAAAAGAAGAGAGGCTTTTGTTTACAACAAAGGGTTGCCCCTCACTGCGGTGTGAACGGGAGGATTGTGAGAACCTGCCGATTTCCCACACTCTTTCGGGCTGGTGGGTGTAGCTAGCAGAGACATGTCTGATCAGCTTGATCAAATACCTGTCCCGGGAACGCCCGCCCGGAGCAGAATCCTCGGCCTGGAGGAGACGGTGAGAACAGGCAGGCAGGCCAGGCTGCCAGTGAGGTTTCCGCCCCTCCCGGAGGGGAAGCAGGAGCTGCCGCTTCTAACCGGGGGTCATCCCTCCGGAATTGGCCGATTGGATCCCCCTGAGGAAGTTGGATGCCCTCAAGGAGGCCACCTGGAGAGGATTGGAGGTGGGGGGGAGGTGTTCTCCCTTTCCACCTGGCTTTTCTTTGCAAGGGGACCCTCTTTCCCCCTTGCCCGCCCTCCCTCCCTCCCTAATACTGTCTCAGCTCAGCTCCCAACAGCGAAAGGGCTGTGAAGGAGAGCAGGGAACTGGCAGCCAAAAGCCACAGTGGAGGGTATCAAAGGAGGCTGAGGCTTCAAAGAGGCCCCCACGTCAGACCTGCCTCCACCTAGCTGCAGGTGTCAGCTTTCTCCCAGCGTGAAGGCAGCCGGTGCTGCTACTCTGCGGTGGGCAACAGCCCAGGGGTGGTGGCCTCCCCGCAGCTCTTTTTTCCTCTCCTGGGGCAGCTGCTGCGGCCACTGGGACCCTCCCTCCCCAGCCACGCCCCTCACCTGATGCCAGGGGCCGGATCCATTCCTTGCTATTCAGGTCGAGTCGCCAGAGGTCGTTAAAAGCGGCGTTGCAACTGCTCTGGGTGCAGCCCCCGAAGACGTACATGGACTGATTGGCATCGTAGTAGCAAGCGCCTAGAAAGCACACACACACACAAAGGAAAGCCACAATTTCTCTCTCCTTGAAAACCCGCAACGTGGGTGCGACTCCGGGGATTCTTTTCGTGTATTATTTAACGCCCCCACCCCCTTTTGTCCTGAGCACCATCCATCCACCCCATCCTGCAGGATCAGCGGAATTAGGAGTCGCGGCGGTTAGAATGCAGCATTGCAGGCTAAATTCTGCCCGCTGCCAGCAGTTCTATCCTGACTGGCTCAAGGTTGAATTCAGCCTTCCATCCTTCCGAGGTGGGTAACATGAGGGCCCAGATTGTTGGGGGTGCAATAGGCTGACTGTAAACCACTCAGAGAAGGCTGTAAAGCAGGGGTCCCCGACCGTGGCCACTTTAAGACCTGTGGACTTCAACTCCCAGAATTCCCCAGCCAGCCCTGCTGGCTGGGGAATTCTGGGACTTGAAGTCCACAGGTCTTAAAGTGGCCACGGTCGGGGACCCCTGCTGTAAAGCAGTATATAACTGCTATTGCTATTGCTATTATTTAATCTCCTTCAAAACTGAGGAACTGCAATTTAGGCAGATTTTATGGTTGGCTCAACCGACCCCAACCTGTTGTGATTGTCTGGTTTGGAAAACACGCTGTTTTCTTTACACAGCTACCCAATCTTGGCATTCTGCTCACCAGATCTCATCTGGAAGAAATCAGGAGACGTACATACAAACAACCTGGAATTAAGGAGAAACTTCCTAACAGTGAGGACAATTAACCAGTGGAACAGCTTGCCTCCAGAAGTTGTGGCTGCTCCATCACTGGAGATCTTTAAGATGAGACTGGACAGCCATTTGTCTGAAATGATAGAGGGTCTCCTGCTTGAGCAGGGGGCTGGACTAGAAGGCCTCCAAGGTCCCTTCCAGCTCCATTCTGATTCTAAACACTTGAAAATATCTCAGGGGCTGCCCCAAAGAAGAGGGAGTCAAGCTATTCTCCAAAGCGCCTGAAGGCAGAAGAAGCAACGGATGGAAACTGATCAAGGAGAGAAGCAACCTAGAACTAAGGAGAAACTTCCTGACAGTGAAAACAATTAGCCAGTGGAACAACCTGCCTCCAGAAGCGGTGAATGCTCCAACACTGGAAGTTTTTAAGAAGAGACTGGACAGCCACTTGTCTGAAACGGTACGGGGTTTCCTGCCTGAGCAGGGGGTTGGACTAGATGACCTCCAACTTCTTCTTCTCCTTCTCATTATTATTACTATTACTAGTATTACTATTATTATTAAAATGAAAAGCCATCTTCCTTCCTCTACGGCTTGAGCTGGCCCTTTCTCTTCAAGCAGGGAGAGATTGGTTTCGGTAGAAGCAGCTTCTAGAACCTTCCGCTTCCCAGCTAAGCCAGAGGCCTCGTCTCTCCTCGGCTGCTTGCAGCCTCCACGCAGCCTGTGCCCCCTCCAGCCTCTCTCTGGGTCAAGCAAGAGCATGGGCTTCCCCACCGGGCTCAGGCCCCTGAGCGTGGCGCCGTGGGCCAGTCCGTACTTACTGTGCGAAAAGCGCTGGGTGATGGGGGTCCCAGGGTAGGGATAGGTGCGGCTCTCCCACTGAATGTTCCCTTCCTGGACCGACTTGATAAAGCCGTGGTAACACTGGTGGGCCACACCTGGAAGAGGAGGGAGAACAGCGAGAAAGTGGGGCTGGAAACGAGCGGGCTGACCGGGGACGGATCTGGTTGGCTTCTGGCCAGCAAATGGACAAAGGCTGAGTCTCCTGAGAGAGCTTTTGGGGTGGTCTCCGAAAGGGCCTACCCTTCTCTGCTTTTTTGAGCATAACACAGGAGGCCAACACACCCTCCGTGTTCGTGTGCCCCAAGTCTAGCAGAAGCCGGCAGCTCACGAGAAGTCCTCAAACTCTAAAAAAACCCAAGAGCTGGCCGGCGCGTTGTGCAACAAGTTCACATGGTGCAATAAGATTGTGTGTTTGTTGTCACTGCGATTTGTGTCGGGGGTGTGTGCACGAAGCCAATCTCATTGTACACATGTTGTACTTTTGACAATAAAGGTTGATCTGATTCGATTTGAAGAGCTCCCGAGTCTTGTTTGCTTTTAGTGCAGGCCTCACAGCCATCGGATGGGCGTGGAGGGGGGGGTGTCTCTGATCTGGAGGTTTAAATAATTCTTCATCACTTCTCCTCCTCCTTGGAGAGGGGACCCCAAGCAGGCACCCAGGCATGTGGCAGGGAGGAAGCGATTGGCCCAGTCCTCCCCCCCCCACCACAAAGCTTGCACTGGTGGCCTTTCAACCTGGGCCTCTCCTCTCCAAATGTTAACCACAACACACTCCTCCTTCTTCCAGCCTTTTGTTAAAATGCTGAAAGCAACTGAGCCACTATATATCGGTGCGCTTAAGGACAAGGCACCTCCTGCTTCTAAGAAAACCAAACCAAACCAGAAATTGGAGGAAAGCAACCAGCCAGAGGGTGCCTAAATCCTACAGGGGAAGACAGCAAAGGCAGCCCCCGTCCAATCTTGCTTGGCTCCCAAGACTGAAGGAAAAAAATCAAAGGGGGTGTGTGTGTGTGTGGGGGAAGAGTCCTCCTTCCAGCCCCCCGACAACGCCCCCTCTCTGCTTCACCCCTTTTCTGGCCTTCTCAAGAGCTAGGATTACAGGTGGTCCTCGCCGTACGACGGAGCCCCAAATTTTCCGTGGTTAAACGAGACCATTTGTGAATTTCGCCCCCTTCTGCGCCCTTCCTTGCCACAGCAGCCGATAAGTTAGTAACCCGGCCGCTAATTGAATCTGGCTTCCTGTTCTTTAGAAGCTCGCCAAAGGGGATCGCGTGACCTTGGGACATAACGGTCAAAAATAGGAACCGGTTGCCAAGCGTCTCGGTTTTGCTCACCTGACGGCGGGGATGCTGCGAAGGTAACTGGGAAAAACGGTCCTAGGTCACCCTTTTTTTTTTTTAGCGCGGTCGCGACTTGGAACCGTCGCTAAACGAACTGTGGCAAGTCGGGGACTAGCCGTACTTTCTGGAGTGTCCGACAACGGCTAAGCCTGTCTGCGGCCCAGTTCCCATCGCTGTCCCCTCCCCCTTTTTTTTTTAATTTTGCTGAACCCTCACAATCTTTCTCCCCACCTGTTTGGGCTTAGAAAAGCACCCGGGAATTTCCTCCCGTACCTTTGATGAGCCGATACCACTGCTTGCAAACCAGGGCGGCCGTTTTGTGCTCCTGATACGGGGAGAGGAAGGACAATATGTACTCCAGCACTTCCTCTGGCAACTCCTGCATGGACCGGTGAGGCCGAGCCCCTCCCTCGTCCTCCTCTGGAGGAGCAGCACACACTCCATCCTCCTGATCCATGGTCCCTTCGGCCGCGGCGGCGTCCTCGGAATCCACAGCCATGAAGCTGTCATCGTCGCTCTCTGAGTTAGCCATGGCATTCCAGTCCCCTGCTTCAAAAATGGGGAGGGGGGAAAAAGTTACGGGTTACGGGCCGGTCTTCTTGCGGAGGGATCTTTTTCTAATTTTATTGAGTTTTATAGGGTTGGGGATAGAATAGGATCGGGATAAGGATTAAGGTTTAGGGAGGGCTTGGGATCAGGATTGGTGCTGGGGGAGGGTTGGGGTTATCCCCCCAATAACATTTTCAGTCTTTAGCAAACAGACTATTGTCCGGGAACACGTGTTCAGTTAACAATAGCTGATAGAGTAATAAGTAATAAGTGTAATAAACGATAATCGCAAACAGTATCGGTTCATTAATGCATATCATTCTTCTTAGGAGATATCTATTCAAAATAACACAAAACCCTGCCCGCGGGGAAAAAAACCCCTCTCCGTGGAGCCAGTCCCTGGTGCCCAAAAGGTTGGGGGGCCACCGTATTACGGAATAACGGGAGGAAGATGAGATCGTGTGAAGTGAAGCCCCCGGTTTCAATCCACGGTTTGGCGCGTCAGCTCTTGAAGCAGCCAAGAATCTCTGCTTGGTCTCCCTTCACAAATGAAGGCATGCTGAGAGCTTCCCTTAAGCCCCAAGAAGGCAATCCTGCAAATTATCAAGCCTGGTGCACTAGCTTGGGGGGCAGGGAAGGGTTAGGAGAGCGATGTAGGGGTCCCCCTGCAAGTATCTCCTAGAAGCTGAAGGCAAAAAATGGAAGAAGTGTCAAGGAGTTGTGAGTCCCCCCATCCTTCCTCTCCCCTCCCCACTTCCTTTGGGGGGGGGAAAGACAGCAGAACCGCTGTTTGAAAGTCTTTTGAAAGTCCTTCTCGCCTGCTGCAGCTGTTTACTAATTACATCCTCCAAGGCTGTTCCGATTGCTGAGTGACAGTTCCTCCAGGAAAAGATCAAAGGGGCAACAGGGCCACTCACCTCCCCCCCCCAAAGGATCAAAGTGTCAACCTTAACTGTTTTCATCCTGTCACAAGGAAGATGTCAGTCACCACCTCCAACACCGCCCCCCCCCCAAAGTCTCCTGAGAATCTTCCCAGATGTTGAGCAAGTCAATCACTACTTTGCATGGGGCCCGACTGCTCCTCCAAAGAAATATGGAATGCCGCCCACTTTGCCTCAGAAAGATCCAGCTGGGAGATCCCTTTCAGATGGCTTACGAACCTCTGGCGTGGCTTCTGAAGGGAAGGGTGGAAAAGGGAACCGAAAGACGAGTGCGCAGGGCAGCAATCCAACAGATTCTCCCTCGGCTCGAGAGAGAGAGAGAGAGGGGGGGGGGGGGGGAAAGGAGCTCCCGTAATTGCCAGGTCGCGCCAATAGTTCCGATAGCTTAATTGGGAAGGAAGCTGAAGTACTGAAAACTTTCAACGACAGGTTTAGAGCAGGGGTCCGCAACCTTGGCCACTTTAAGACTTGTGGACTTCAGCTCCCAGAATTCCTCAGCCAGACTTGAAGTCCACAAGTCTTAAAGTGGCCAAGGTTGAGGACCCCTGGTTTAGAGGACCCAGCCCACTCCTGGATCAGGCTTCTTGAGGCTAGCTCTCCAGCTCTTCCCTTCTCCTGCATTGTTCCCAAAGGCTCAAACCTGCCAGCATTCCCCAAGGGAAAGCTGCAGCTTCTCTTTTCAAATAAGGTGAAATCAAAATGTGCTCACACACAAACACACACGTCGTTAAAAGTGTCCCAGACTTCCGGAAAACGATGTGCCGAAGAGCAGACTCTGGGTCAACCGACAAATTCCATTATCTTTGCCACAGCGCCACCGGTTTCTGCGCGCATACAAGTTTGCCCCCTCGCTCTGGGCAAAGAGCATTTGCAGCGTAAGGGGCAGCAAACGCCCTGAGCCAAGTCTCAGAGCATCCAGACTGCCCCAGGGAGGCCTGCCAGGCCTGCAGCCAAGCCTCTGTGGTGGTAGCGTGGCAAAGTTGGTCAAAGTTTGATAACAGCAACGAGCTTTTGAAGATGGAAGAGGGAACAAACGGCAAAAGGGAGCCACTTGCTCACCCCAATCCCACTGCACAAGCAGCAAACACTATAGAGCTTTCACACACACACACACACCCTGATTGAGATCCCAACTGGGCCTTAAAAATGCACACCGAGGGCAGCTGGCTGTGGCACAGTCTTGCTTCCTCCTCTGAGCCTAAAAGGGGAGGCTGTCCACCTTGGAGGCCCCTGGGGGTTGCAGGACCAATCCAAGCCGGAGAGCCGGGAAGGCAGAATCCCCCTCCCCCAGCCAGCACCTTCCCAGAGGTCGGCCCTAAGGAAATTGGGTCCAGGGAGAACCGAAGGGACTCTGAGCCTGGAACAGAACACAGAGCCACCCACCCAAAGCAAGGCAGCCTGGAGATGGACTGCCACAAACAAGAGGGGTGTGTGTGTGTGTCTATCCTCCAAAGCACCAGAGGGCAGGACAAGAAACAACGGATGGAAACTAATCAAGGAGAGAAGCAACCTGGAACGAAGGAGAAACTTCCTGACAGTGAGAACTATTAACCAGTGGAACAACCCGCCTCTAGAAGTCGTGGGTGCTCCATTCCTGGAATCCCAAAGGTGCTTTTTCAAGGGGCAACTGGACTGAAGAAGCTTCTCTGGATGTGAAGTGAAAACATCTTCAAAGAAAAACAAGAAAGTCTAGTGGCCTTTTGAAAAAGCACCTTTGGGACAATCAGGACCTGGATGACGGAGAATCTCCATAGACATCCATCACTAGAGGCTTTCATGATATGATAAGATAACCTTTATTGTCATTTTTTTTTACTGTGGGCACAACGGCACACCTCAAAAATGAAATTTAGTTGCCCGCTCTCCAAGTGAAACACATGCATGACACACACCTAAACATACTATATACACAACACATGCATAGACCCACACCCTACGTATACATAACAAATAAATATTGAACACCGTGCATCTCGAATACATAACGGGAGGAGGAGGAAGAGAACCGGACAACCATTTGTCTGAAAGGATCTAGGTCGGCTCTCCTGCTTGAGCAGGGGGCTGGACTAGAAGACCTCCAAGGTCCCCTCCGCCTCTATTCCGACAGATCGATCCACCGCGGAGCCCGAGCTCCGTCTTGAGGGGCCCAACCCAACGGGGAAACGCCCCGGCGGAGCCCCCCTTCCTTCCCTCGCTCGTTTCTTCGACGGGGCAAAGCGCCACCGTCCCAAAGGAAGGCCGGGGCTGCTTCCCTCGAGCCTTCCCGTCTCTGCGCCATCGGCCGCCCTCCCGCCCGGGGCTCGGGAGGGAGGCTGCTCGGGCACCCCGGAAGCCGGATCCGGACGGCGGCAGTCGCGACGGCGGCACCCCGGGGCCGGAGGAGTAAGGCCGCTCCTCTCCGCCCCAGGCCCGGCGGACCCTCCAGCCGCGCCTGAGCCTCCCGGGCGGCCGGCCAGGGCACGTGGGGCCCGCCTGCCTTCCAGGCCGCCGCCGCCGCCGGCGAGGCTCCCGAGGAGACCCGGGGGCCCGGAGGGCGCCGCGGGAGGAGGAGGAGGGCGCGCGCTGCTGGGGGCTCCGGAGCCCGCCGCCCCTCACCTGGGCTCGTCCCCCGCTGCCGCTTCACAGCGCTGGCTGCCGCTTGGGCGGGCGCCCGCAGCCTCCGCGGCCGCCTTCGCGCGGAGCTTGGACCTTCCCGGCCGCCGTGGCCGCCGCCATCTTGCCGCTGTCCCAACCGGGAAGAGAGGAGAGGGGCGCGAGCAAAGGCGGGGCGGGCCCCCCACGCCAGGCGCATGCGCGCGCGCGGGGGGAGGAGCCGAGTTTCTCGCGGGCGGGCGGGCGGGCAGGCAGGCGGAGCGCATGCGCGTGGACTTGCGCCGGCCCGAGAAGGTCAAGGAGGGGCGCCATGACAGGCGTGGCGGAAAAACGAGGGTGGGCGTGCCGGGAGGCCGAAAGAGATCGCGCCCGGAGCTGGTTTGCTTCCCCCGCCGTTGTGCACTACCGTTGGCGGGGACGGGGCGTTGTGGCTCTCTTCCACGAGTGGCCTAGCTGCCTGCTCCTAGCAGAGAGTTAGTTTGCCCGTCACGGATTCCTGCTTCCGTTTGCGGGCTATGGGACTGCGCTCTCAAGGCCGCGCATACCCAGTTGGGAGGGGAGGGGAGGGGAAAATCCCGCTTTCCTCCCCGCCAATTAATATTTGGGAATGCGGTACCGTCCGCGCCCGGCTTCAACCCGGCGATAAGTGAACGTGGCGCCCCCTAGCCGCCACGGAAATTTGCGCTATTGTGCTTGCTGAGGAGGTAACCGCGCATGCGCGAACCCTTCCAGGGCGTGTCCCGACGAGCTCTTCCGAGGTGGGCGGGGCGAAGGAGCGGCCGAGGCGTAGACCTTAGTCGGCACGGCACCCGGCGAAGAGCAGCCCGGGAAGAGGGGCCTGCGCAGGCGCGTTGGCGCGCGCTGACGCCAAAGGCGGGTCCGGCCGGCCGCGCTCGCCGACAGGATAGGATTGGGCGCCGCGCGCATGCGCTCCGGGCGGGCTGGCGGCGGAGGGGCATTACAATGGAAGATGAGGAGGTCGCCGAGAGTTGGGAGGAGGCGGCCGACAGCGGGGTGAGTCCCGGAGCCCCGCCGAGCCCGGGCGGAGAGCCGAGAGGAGACGGGCCGCCCCCGGGTGGGACGGCGAGGCCGGCGGAGAGGCGTCCCGGGTCGGCCGAGGCTCTTAGGCCTCTTAAAGGGGCCGTGCCCCCATTTCCCCCAACACGTGGTCTGCGGGCCACCGGCGCCCGCGGAGGGTCCCTCTGGCCGGGGGCGCCCGTGCATCGCTGCGGGGACGGCCGGCGAGTCCCGCTCCGCCCGGGGAGGCAGGGCCTGCGGGCTCCGCCTGGGCAGCGCTCGGAGGCGTCTCCTTCCTTCCTTCTCCTTTTCCTTTCCCTTTCCTTCCTTTTCCTTCTCCTTTTCCTTTCCTTCCTTTTTCCTCCTTCCTTTTCCTTTTCCACTTCCTTCCTTTTCCTTTCCTTTCCTTCTTTTTTCCTCCTTCCTTCCTTCTCCTTTTCCTTTCCCTTTCTTTCCTTTTCCTTCCTTCCTTTTCCTTTCCTTCCCCTTCCTTCTCCTTCTCCTTTCCTTCCTTTCCCCTCTTTCCTTTTCCTTCCTTTTCCTTTTCCCCTTCCTTCCTCCCTTCTCCTTTTCCTTTTCTTCCTTTTCCCTCTTTCCTTTTCCTTCCTTTTCCTTTTCCTTTTCCCCTTCCTTCCTTCCTTCCTTCCTTCCTTCCTTCCTTCTCCTTTTCCTTTCCTTCCTTTTTCCCCTTCCTTCCTTCATTCCTTCCTTCCTTTTCTCCTTCCTTCCTTCCCCGGGGAAGCCCTCCCGGGACTGCCCGGCGTGGGCGAGGCGAGGCGAGGAAGGGGAGCGCGGGGGGCGGCCTCCGTCGGGAATCCGCTTCCCGAGAGAGGCCGCCGGGCTCCTGGAGCGGCGGTGGCCGAGCCTCCGGTCTGCGGGCGAGGAGGGAAAAGCAGCGCACCCGGGCCCCAGATCATCGGTCCTTCCTCCGGCCCCAGCAGCTCCGCATCCCGCCTCTCGGGCTTGGCCGCCTCCCCTGGAAGTGGCTGGGGGCCTGCGGATCCACGGGCAGGGCAGGGCTGGGCAAGGAGGGTCGCCTTTCTGCCGCCTTTGGAGCCGGTGAGGCAAGGCGTTGGGGGACACAATCGAGCCCAACATTCATGTCGTTAAGGGAGACGCTTGTTAAGTGAGTTTTCCCCCGTTTTACGACCTTCCTTGCCCCATTTGTTAAGGGGGATCCCTGCAGTTCTTGAATTAGTAGCCCGGCTCTTAAGTGGATCCCGGCTTCCCCCATTGACTTTGTTGGTTAGAAGGCTGCAGAGGGGAATCCCTGGGAGACTGTATCGTCTGAATGGAAATCACCTGACTGTTGGGATGTCGCAATGGTCATAAGCAGGGGNTTCCTTCCCCTTTTCCTTTCCCTTTCCTTCCTTCCTTCCTTCTTTCCTTCCTTCCTTCCTTCCTTCCTTCTCCTTTTCCTTTCCTTTCCCTTTCCCTTTCCTTCCTTTTCCTTCCTTCCTTCTTTCCTTCCTTCCTTCCCCTTTTCCTTTCCCTTTCCTTCCTTCCTTCCTTCTTTCCTTCCTTCCTTCTCCTTTTCCTTTCCCTTTCCTTCCTTCCTTCCCCTTTTCCTTTCCCTTTCCTTCCTTCCTTCCTTCTTTCCTTCCTTCCTTCCTTCCTTCCTTCTCCTTTTCCTTTCCTTTCCCTTTCCCTTTCCTTCCTTTTCCTTCCTTCCTTCTTTCCTTCCTTCCTTCCCCTTTTCCTTTCCCCTTCCTTCCTTCCTTCCTTTTCCTTCCTTTTCCCCTTCCTTCTCCTTTTCCTTTCCCTTTCTTTCCTTTTCCTTCCTTCCTTTTCCTTTCCTTCCCCTTTTCCCCTTCCTTCTCCTTCTCCTTCTCCTTCCTTTCCCCTCTTTCCTTTTCCTTCCTTTTCCTTTTCCCCTTCCTTCCTTCCTCCCTTCTCCTTTTCCTTTTCTTCCTTTTCCCTCTTTCCTTTTCCTTCCTTTTCCTTTTCCTTTTCCTTTTCCCCTTCCTTCCTTCCTTCCTTCCTTCTCCTTTTCCTTTCCTTCCTTTTTCCCCTTCCTTCCTTCCTTCCTTCCTTTTCTCCTTCCTTCCTTCCCCGGGGAAGCCCTCCCGGGACTGCCCGGCGTGGGCGAGGCGAGGCGAGGAAGGGGGGAGCGCGGGGAGCGCCCTTGCCGGCTTCCAGAGCCCGAGGGGGGCGGCCTCCGTCGGGAATCCGCTTCCCGAGAGAGGCCGCCGGGCTCCTGGAGCGGCGGTGGCCGAGCCTCCGGTCTGCGGGCGAGGAGGGGAAAGCAGCGCACCCGGGCCCCAGATCATCGGTCCTTCCTCCGGCCCCAGCAGCTCCGCATCCCGCCTCTCGGGCTTGGCCGCCTCCCCTGGAAGTGGCTGGGGGCCTGCGGATCCACGGGCAGGGCAGGGCTGGGCAAGGAGGGTCGCCTTTCTGCCGCCTTTGGAGCCGGTGAGGCAAGGCGTTGGGGGACACAATCGAGCCCAACATTCATGTCGTTAAGGGAGACGCTTGTTAAGTGAGTTTTTCCCTGTTTTACGACCTTCCTTGCCCCATTTGTTAAGGGGGATCCCTGCAGTTCTTGAATTAGTAGCCCGGCTCTTAAGTGGATCCCGGCTTCCCCCATTGACTTTGTTGGTTAGAAGGCTGCAGAGGGGAATCCCTGGGAGACTGTATCGTCTGAATGGAAATCACCTGACTGTTGGGATGTCGCAATGGTCATAAGCAGGGGTCTTCAAACTTGGCCCTTTGATGACCTGTGGACTTCAACTCCCAGCTGGCTGAGGAATTCTGGGAGTTGAAGTCCACAAGTCATCAAAGGGCCAAGTTTGAAGACCCCTGGTCGTAAGTGTGAAAAATGGCCATCAGTCGCTTTTTTTCGGTGCCGTTGTAACTTTGAATGGCCACTGATGTAAGTCGAGGACTGCCTGTAATGTAAAAGGGGTAACATCCCGAGAAGCCTTCATTCTGTGCTTTGCTGGTTTTCTCTGCTCTCCCCTTTGGGGTTCCTCGCTCTGCGCCCTTTGCAAGCAATGTGCCCTAGAAGGTCCCTCTCCTGTTGTCTGGCACGGCTTGGACCCTTGTTTAATTCTTCCAGGACCGCAGAACAGGGGCCAGAAGCACGCACCTCCTCTGCTCACGGGAGGGAAGCTTAGCAAGTGTCTGCCGGAAGCCCAAAGGGAGGTGGTCTGGGGCACCCCCCAGGCTACATTCCTACAACCCCTATCTTTTAAGGACGCAGAGTTCCTGCCTGCCACTTCCAATCCTCGCCTCTTTGCCCAGGATGACCCTTTAGGACTATGAAGGGCAGAGATGTCTCTAGAATAGGGTCTGACGTGAACTGGGGTTTGTGCGCGCGCGGGTGCATGCCTGAACACACACCGTCTTTCATACTTCTGGAACCTCACATCCACATTTGACCGTCTTTCATACTTCTGGAACCTCACGTCCACATTTGACCGTCTTTCATACTTCTGGAACCTCACGTCCACATTTGACCGTCTTTCATACTTCTGGAACCTCACGTCCACATTTGACCGTCGCCTCCCGTCGTCCTCTTGTGTCCATTCCCTCTCGGCTAATGGGTTGGTGCCGGGCTTGTTCCCTTCCTCACCCAAATATTCGCCATTCCCTTCTGTATTTTTAGTGATCATACTTATTGCATTTATATACCGCTTCCATCTCACGGAGTGACTCTGGGGAGATGCTACTTCTACCGGCTGCAGATAATTTAATGGGGGAGGCAGGGCGCCCCCCCCGCCACTGAAAATGGCGGTGTTCGGAGAGGTGAGCCAACCTGAGCCAGGAGCCCGATTTGGCCAACAGCCCATGTGAAATGAACTATTTGGGTCGAGGCAAATCTCCCGAGGATTTGCATGTTTGAGTTCACCGGAGAAGAAAACTCATTCAGCTCAGTGGGCTCGCCTTCACTTTCAAAGATTAACTCGCCCTCCAGACTTTGGACTACAAAGCAGATGCAGTTACACCTCAGTGGGGAAGTTGTTCAATGAATGCTTGTCTTATTGCAAAACCAGCCGATGCCGCAAGGACGGCTGAAACGTGCTGGCACCCAGGCCTGGGCCTCCCCTTCCATCAAGGAAGGACCACCGGAGCAGCCATTTCCTAGAGAGCCAACAAGACAACCCCAGGAAGCAGCTGTCTGGGAGACTACCACCCTTCAGACGCTGTCCTGGCAGAGGGGTTGTTCAGTCAACCGGCCAGGCTGTTGGGCCACCTTTAGCGGCCTTGCTTGCTTGGAAGGAGAGAAAGGGTCTCCCAAGTCTCGGGCAGAAAACAGACCCTCCTCTTTCTGGTTACTGGTCTTTAATGGTGACATTCCCCCCCTCCCCAGTTTTCCCAGCGTGAATGACCAGGCACGCGCTCTGCTCGTGATGGTAAGTGTCAGAGCAAGTTATCTGAGGCACCGCTAGTCTGGCTCTCGGCTGCTGATCTGGACGACCTGCAAAACCGGGGTCTAATTTTATCTTGCTGTTTGCTCAAATGCAAAGCGTCAGCAGCTGCAGCTGCCAGTTGACCTGATGTCTGGCATGAGCCCATTTTTGATTCTGGTCTGTGGATAACGCTCACCCTGGGCTCCCTTCCCACGCCTCGGCTTTCTTCCTCTGAAAAGAAAAGGGTTGAGAGGGCTTGTCTGTCTGTCTCTCTCTCTCTCTCCCCCCTCCTCTCTCTCCTTCTCTCTCTCTCTCCCCCTCTCTCTCTCTTTCTCTCCTCTCTCTCCTTCTCTCTCCTTCTCCTTCTCTCTCTCCTCTCTCTCCTCTCTTTCTCTCTCTCCTCTCTCTCTCTCCTTCTCTCTCTCCTCTCTCTCCTTCTCTCTCTCTCCTCTCTCTCCTTCTCTCTTCTCTCTCTTTCTCTCCTTCTTTCCTCTCCTCTCTCCTTCTCTCCTTTCTCTTTCTCTCTCTCTCTCTCCTTCTCTCTCTCCTCTCTCTCCTTCTCTCTCTCCTCTCTCTCTCTCTTTCTCTCCTCTCTCTCCTCTCTCTCTCTCTCCTCTCTCTTTCTCTCTCTCCTTCTCTCTCTCCTTCTCTCTCTCTCTCTCCCCTCTCTGTCTCTTTCTTTCTTTCTCTGTCTCCTGGCCTGCTCTGTTTCGTGAGATCTCTTGCTACTTCAAAGATGAGTTAGTAACCGATGGTGAAATGTGGCATCGCCTTGCCAGGGAAGGGAGGGCCAAGCTCATCCCCTGGTACTACAAGGTGCCTGAGCCCCAGAGGGTGGGCAGAGCAAACAGAGGGAGCTTGACCCACTGACTTTTTGCCTTGCAGGAAATAGACAGGCGACTGGAAAAGAAACTGAAAATCACCCAGAAGGAAAGGTAAGGCTGTTTTCGTAATCATTCAGCAGCGTCCTTGCTGGGGAGGGCCGGGAAAATCGAGCGGCGTTCCGGTTTTTGGTTTTTAAAGATTCTATCTAAAGACGAACCCCAAGCCCTGGCTGTACTGATTCGGTCAGAACATCAAGGGCAGAAGCTTGCCCTTTCTGCCTTGTTGGTGTCGGTGAATAGGCAGAGGTGCTTAGTTCAGAGGACTGGCTGAGGGTTTTTTTGGCCAACAGCACATAAAATAAAATAAAAATTGTGTCCCCTCTTCTCTCTTCACAGCAGGAAATCCAAGTCCCCACCCAAAGTGCCGATCGTCATTCAGGACGACAGTCTTCCTTCGGGCCCGCCACCGCAAATCCGGATCTTGAAGCGGCCCACCAGCAACGGAGTGCTGACTAACCCCAACTCTTCCAGCCGACCTGCCTTCCCGGTGAAGTCCCTGGCCCAGAGGGAGGCCGAATACGCCGAGGCCAGGAAGCGGATTCTGGGCAGCGCCAGTCCCGAAGAGGAGCAAGAGAAGCCCATCCTTGACAGGTAAGGGAGCCCTGGCACCCAATTTCTCTGTGCCAGGAGGGCGTCCTCTGGCTTCCCTTGTCTCTTTTCTGCCAGAGGGCAAGACCCTGTCCGTGCCCAGGAGACACTGATGTGGGGCCTGCCAGCTCAGGCTTTTATCCCATTGGGCTCAGCTTGGGGGGAGGACCGAGGGGAGGGGGGAGAGAAGCATGTTCAGAAAGCCGCTTCGAGGGTGTCAGGTCAGTCTGAGGGGGTACAGTTCTGGGATTGGTTGCCCAAAGGAGGATCTCCTCATGTGTCTCCTCCTTGGGGGCTTCTCGCCCACAAGCTGGACCGCCTATCAGAGTGGTGGCGAACCTATGGCACGCGTGGCAGAGGCGGCACTCAGAGCCCTCTCTGTTGGCACGCGCGCCACCGCTGCCAGCAGCAGGTCCATTAGGCCGCCACCGCCCGGAGCAGGAGCCCCGCCCAGCACAAAGGAGGCGAAGTGGCCGAGTAGCAAGATCGAATAGAGGTGGTAGAGCAGAGGTCACCAACCATTGTCGATTGGTAGACTGGAAGAAAAGGGAGGGGGAAGCATTTTACATGCGTGCATGTGCGCATGGGGCCGCGAGCATGCACACGCTGCAAATGGGGCGGGGCTAGTGCCTGCGTGATACTCACTAGCCCTGCCCCATTCTTGCGTGGTGCAGCGCCTTGTATCTGCACTCCACGGCACGATGGCGGCCATTTTTGCACCTTGCAGCACGGTGGCCCATTTTTTGCGCCCCTGGTTTTTGGGTGCCAGAGGCGGCACTCAGAGGCGCCTCCCTGTCCCCCCCCTCCCCCATGAAGGCATCACAATGCTGATGCGGCCCTGGCACTTTGTGATAAATAAGTGGGTTTTGGGCTGCGGTGTGGGCACTCGGTCTCTAAAAGGTTCGCCATCACTGCCCTATCCTCTTCCTCTTAGTCTCTCCTTCGGACTACCGGGCGGGGGGTGGGGCAGCTTTTAGCCGGACTGAGTGTTCTTCCCCTCCTCCCTCAGGCCCACAAGGATCTCCCAGCCGGAAGAATCCAGGCAGCCCAGCAATGTGATCAGGCAGCCGCTGGGCCCCGACGGTTCGCAGGGCTTCAAGCAACGCAGATAGGCTTGGCTGGCTGACCAGCCAGTATGAAAGCAAGGTGCTCCTCCTCCTCAGCAGACCAATGGACCTGAGCCATAGGGGCGGGACTTGCCCTAAGCGTCCCCTTGGCTCTTTGCCTCTTGTGACCCTCGGCCCAGGCACCGGGACTCCTGCTGCGCCTCCCCGTCGTATTGACATGCCAAGGAGGGTGCACCGAGGGAGGGGCAGGCTTCTCTTCCAGGGGGCCGGGTTGCCACAACTTGCTGCCCGCTGAAGCGAGCCCGCCCCCGCAAAGGAATGACTTCTCCCGTTGGATCCCTCCGGGGTCGGAAGCAGGAGGGAGGGGAGGGCTCTGCTTCTCAACATGTGCATGTCGGTGCGTGTTACACTTGGAGCAAGGTGCGGACGGGGGCGGGTGGGCGGAAGGTGTACACACCGAGGTTTGATCGTTTGCTTTGGGGGGACGGGATGGCCCTGGAGCCTCGCGCATGGGAAGAAGACAAGGGGGCGTGTTAGCTGTGTAACTTGTTTATCTGAGAAACAGTAGTTGCTAGTGTTTCCGAAAGGAGAGGGAGGTGGGGGAAAGCGGCGGCGGGCACCCTCTGCCTCTTCCCCGCTCGCCGCCGTCGCTTCGGAGTGAACGGACGGAGGGCGCTCTGGCCCGTCTTTCCAGCGGGCCACTTCGTGAGCCGGCAGGGGCCCCTGCGTCTCTTGTCTCTGTGGGACGAGCTGGGGCCCCCCTCCTCTGCCTTGGGGGGCAGGAGGGAGGGATCGCCCTGCCCTCCCAGTCTTCACCAGCACTCCCTTCGCCTCCTGGTGCTGCTTCCAGACAAAGATGGGGGAGCCCTGCTTTTTGCCACTAGGACTCTGAGCTAGGAATAGAGTAGTTCCTGTCTCGCATCTTGTCCTGCCGGGTTCTTGGGAGGAAACGGGCGGCGGGCCAAGTGTTGCTTGTGCTGGCCACGGACGGACGTCAGGCCAGCCGGGGCCCCCGAGCGGTGAGGCGTTAGGCCCGCTTGTTCTTGATCAGTCTGCTATCTGGAAGGCAAAGAAGTGGGGGGAAAAGCAAGGTTCGGACGTGAGAAAGGGCTCAAAATAACAGGCCCCGATGGCGTAGAGCCGTTTTTCAAGATGGCCTGGGAGAATGGATTTGCAGTGACGGGAGGGTCACGTGGTGGCTTGTGGACCCCAAAGCAATACTCTTAGCTTTTTCCCAGGTGGTCAGACAAAAGACACTGGAGGGGCTGGTTAGGAGACCCGCCACGTGCGGCAGATGCCAAGTGTCGGACCAGCTGGGGCTTTGCGCACTAGCAGCCATATTGAGGGAGGGGGCCCTCCCTCCCTCCCCCACCACTTCCAGGTGCCTGGGCTAGCTCGCTTCACTGTGTTTTCCCAAGTCTGCCTTTTTGGTTTTTGCTGTCTGGTTTTGGGAGGACAGAACCGGTGTAGAAAGGGACACCTCTGTGGTTTGTCAAGGGAATCCCACACTTAAAAAGTCATCTCCTCTTCTGCTGGAAGCGAAGGAAGACCTCGGCCGGCAGTGGGCCGTGCAGGAACGTGTAAGTGTCTCTGTGTGTCGGGGTGTGTGTGTGTGTGTGTGTGTGGGGAGGGTGTGCGCTGGAAGGGTGTCTCTTTGTACATCAACACAGGACGCGTACCAAAATACTGCAAAAGAAGTAAACTGGTCAAAAGAGTAATAATAGAAATAAAACTACCTGTGTACAAAAACGCGAAAAAAACCCAAACTGGCTGGCCCTCCAGTGTGTTCTCCTGTCTTTGCATCCCTGCCTCCCCATTTGCTTGCGGATCCTTCTGGCTTGGCCTTTTCCCCATTTTTGCTCGAAACGGCCACTGTTCGGGGGGGGGGCTCCTTCTCCCCTTTGGGGGCAGTTCTTGCCCTCTCTTGTCCCTGCCTTTGGATGTTAGACGGAAAGAGCGACTTTTCCCACGGCAGGACAACAGGCAAGCACGGGCCTTTCCCAGCGGCCGTTCCTGCTGACCCAAGACTTGGCCTGTTGCAGGGGTCTTCAAACGTGGCCCTTTGATGACTTGTGGACTTCAACTCCCAGAATTCCTCAGCCAGGCACCCCTGGTATAGACGCTTCTGCTTGAGCAGGGGGGTGGGCTAGATGACCTCCAAAGGTGTCCCTTCCAACTCTCTTATGTTCTAGCTCAGGGGTCTTCAAACGTGGCCCTTTGATGACTTGTGGACTTCAACTCCCAGAATTCCTCAGCCAGGCACCCCTGGTATAGACGCTTCTGCTTGAGCAGGGGGTTGGGCTAGATGACCTCCAAAGGTGTCCCTTCCAACTCTCTTATGTTCTAGCTCAGGGGTCTTCAAACTTGGCCTTTTGATGACTTGTGGACTTCAACTCCCAGAATTCCTCAGCCAGCATGCACTGGCTGAGGAATTCTGGGAGTTGAAGTCCACAAGTCATCAAAGGGCCAAGTTTGAAGACCCCTGGCCTTTCGGCTCCCGAGGCTGCATCCCGGGAAGGGGGGCACCAAAGGGGAGGCAAAGACACCCCCCCAGTGACCTAATCGGGAGAGGCGGGCGGGGGGGGCACCTAGGAAGCGGCGCCCTTCGGGGAAAGGAGTGGGCGGGGGGCGTCTAGCAGGGAGGGCTCCGCTTTGCGTTGGGCAGGGGGTGCAGGAATCGGCGCTAAAGACCCCCGGGGAGCTGCTCTGCCCCGCCAGAGCTTGCCCGGGCTGCCCTTGCGCGGATGACAGATTTATACGCTGCATTTGAAATAAAACGCGTTAACTTTTCAAGGTGTGCCCCCTGCTTATTGCCCGGGAACCGCCAGGGGGCGATAGAGCCGCTTTATTAAGCCACAGAGGCGCTCTCGGCGGTAGCGGCCTTTTAAGGGGAGGCGACGCTCTAGGCCGCCGCCTCGGGCTTCCCGTTTCCCCCGCGGGCAGGAAGTGGCGACGGGCGCCGCCGAGCAGAGGGAAGGCTTCTGCGCATGTCCGGAAGAGCCCAGCTTTCCGGCGGGGCGAAGATGGCGGAAGGCGAAGACTACGAGTCTGTCTTGTGCGTCAAGCCGGAGGTCCACGTCTACCGCGTGCCCCCGCGCGCCTCCAACCGCGGCTACCGGTGAGTCTCCCCGGCGGCGGCGGCGGCTGAGCGTCGCTTTGCCCTGGTGGGCGGTGCGGGATCGCCAGTCCCATCATCCCCTGCCTGACCCAACCGGCTCCCGGTGCCGGTGCCAGCTGCTGGGCATGCGCAGAGAGACCTCCTCCTCCTGCACCCGGGGAACCGGTCGGGGGGCGACTCTGCAGGGCGAGAGGCGGCGTTGGCGGGCCGGGCTAGCTTGGCTTTTCCTCCCGCCGCTAGAGCCGCGGAGTGGCAGCTGGACCAGCCGGCCTGGAGCGGCCGAATGCGCATCACAGCCCGGGGCAGCGTGGCCTTCATTAAGCTGGAGGACAAGAACTCGGGTAAGGAGCCGACGGAGGCCGCCCGGGGGGCTGCGGGGCTCTCCGGGGGACCCTTCCGGAGCCAGCTGCCTACCTGGCCACTCCTTCCTCCCCCCCCCCCCCCAGGAGAGCTTTTCGCCCAGGCCGCGGTGGACCAGTTTCCGGGCATTGCCGTGGAGGGCGTGACGGACTCCAGCCGGTACTTCGTGCTCCGGATCGAAGATGGGAATGGTACGGATGGGATGGTTTGGGTCCTGCCCTCTTGAGGGAGAGGGGGGGGGAGGGATCCTGTCTTGGTGATTTTTTAATTTTTACCGGGAAAGCAGCCTCTCCTCTGGGGCATCCAAGCTCTGTCCTTGGTGCTGATGGTGGAGACTTGCCCGGTGCTCGAAAAAATGGCAGACACCATTCGAAGCGAACCTCGTGAATGCTCTTAACTCTTGTTTTCTTCCTTAAGTTGCGTGCAAGGCTGTGGCCAGCCCGTCCTTGGGCCATCCTCTTCCCCTTTCTCTATTTATCAGGCTGCCCCCCAACCTGGGCTCTTCTGCGAATGTTCTTGGTTCTCCAGTCTGAGCTTCCGCTTGGCCCTCCTTTCTCAAAGCCTCTCCTTGTCTGATAGGTCAAATCTTCTTTGCTATCCACAATAACCCTCTGTTTACCAGCTACCTGGGCACCTGTGTGGCTTAAGGCCCATCCTAGCAGATACGAACTGTGAGAATGGCGGTTGAACTCTCAGCACCCCGTCCTAGTGGTTTTGTGGCTTCTCGGCAGGTCACCAGCCTATGTGCAATCTGGTGTGTGCGTGACTCGCCTTCCTGAGGTCTTTGTTTCAGGCTTCCCGGTGGGCTGACCCACAACCAGTGACCTTCCACCACCTTCCTGAGCCTAGTTTCCTTTGCAGGGCGCCGTGCATTCATCGGGATTGGCTTTGTTGACCGAGGTGATGCTTTTGACTTCAATGTGGCCCTGCAGGATCATTTCAAGTGAGCACCCTTCCCTTGGTGCCAGGACTCTGCTGGGGGCTCTTTTCCCAGGAAGGGAACGCGGCGGAGCGGTCTAGCCATGACTAATCGCCGCTGATCCTTCTTGACGTGCACCTGGCAAAAACCTGGCATCTGGGAAACAACATTAACAACCTTTATTTATATCATGTGTTACACTGGTTCTCTGTCCATCTTGCTGTTGTGCAGCTCTGGGAGATTTGAAATCTGATAAAACAATGTAAAAGATCAAGACAGCGAGAGAACAAATATATTAAAAATATTAAAAATAAAGTGGAAATAGCTAAGGTAGCAGGGGCATAATACAATAGAGTGGAGGTGGGATCTTCTAATACAGGGGTCTTCCAACTTGGCCCTTTGATGACTGGTGGACTTCAACTCCCAGAATTCCTCAGCCAGAATTCTGGGAGTTGAAGTCCCCAAGTCATCAAAGGGCCAAGTTTGAAGACCCCTGTCTTAAAGCATCCTGGCTGAGAAATTCTGGGAGTTGAAGTCCATAAGTCATAAAAGGGCCAGGTTTGAAGGCCCCTGCTGTAAGGCTTGGGTCTCTCTGGCAGGGAGGGAGGGGGGACCAGGGGTAGGCAACCTTGGCTCTTTTATGACTCGTGGACTTCAACTCCCAGAATTCCTGAGCCAGCATGGCTCAGCTTGGAAACCTCCCTTTCCCCTCAGCATGGCTGGCTCGGGAATTCTGGGAGTTGAAGTCCACAAGTCATAAAAGGGCCAAGTTTGAAGATCCCTATTCTAATACAATAACCACCTCCAAAATGGCACGTGCTCCCTTCCTGGCCAATCTGCAACCTTGGCAGAACGGCTCCATTTTAACAGTCTTGCCAGACATTGGGAGAGCGCCTTCTGAATCTGCAGGGGAAGGCTGTCCTAGAGGGATGGGGAAATGATAGAAAATTCTCCAGTTCTCCTTGCCTTCAGGTGTTCCAGAAATATCTCAAGAGCCATATCTGGGCCAAATGGGCCAACAAGATCTAAAGCAACCGTGGGGGAGGGGCACAGATTCCATCACTGGTTGTTTCTCACCCCTTGTTTCCTGCTCTAGAGGGAAATACAGATTTGGAGAGCCACCTTTGCTACATGGATTTTTAACAGGAATAGAAACCATCTGTCTTAAGTAACTGGCCTCTTCAAAGGGGGAAGACCTCTGCCCGCATCTTTTCCTGCTCTCCACTAGGAAATGCTTTTCTTTCTGTCTCTCTCTCCCTCTGCAGATGGGTCAAGCAACAGGTCGAGTTAGCCAAAGAAGCCCAAAACCCAACCCAGGTGCCCAAACTTGACCTGGGCTTCAAGGAAGGACAGACCATCAAACTCAGCATTGCGGTGAGGAAGGCCTTGGGTGTTGTCGAAGCAAGGCAGGCGCACTCCGCTGCAGTTATAAGGCAGTGGCCCTCCTGTCAGCTCATTGGGTGGTTTCCGCCATGTTTGAGTTGGGAAGGGAAGCAGAACCTGAAGCCCGATGCTTGGGGAAGAACTGAGGGCGAATCCTTCCTCCTCGGGCTAACGTCTGCCCTCAAGTGGGAAGCTTCCAAGTGCGCATGAAAGTTTTTTGGTCTTCCTACAGAACATGAAAAAAAAGGACGGCGCCCCGGGAAGTAGGCCACACACTGGTGACTTCACAGGACTCCCCCTTCTTCCTCCCCCTCCAGGGGGAAAGACTCCTCTCTTCTCCACGCTTGGAGATCAGCTTCCCATGCCCCTTCCAGGAACCTCAGCAGATGCAGTCCAAACAGGTCCGTGTGGCTCCTCAAGGGAAAAGGGATTTGCTTTTACACCAAACTGGAAAAGGAGCTTCTGCTTTGAGACCAGCTTGAGCTGGCTAGTGGTCGGTGGGATCAGCTGGGGCCTTCCACACCCACCCTGAGGACCACAGGCCTCATTTTTGCTCCTCATCTAGCAGTCCCTTAGCAGATGCCTCCGTTGTGCAAAGGTCTTTTTAAGGAAACAGACTTCTGCGAGGAACATCTGGAAATGGGAAAGAAAGCTAACCTCTTCTCCCCATGCTTTGTTTGCCAGCAGATGTTGCCGGGTCTCGGCCCTCCCAGCCGCCAAGTTCTACAAGAGAAGCTTCTGCAGACATTTGGGGAGATTTCACCAAAGCTTCTGGGTGAGGAGATGCCCCTTTTGTCGCACTTTTGGGAGGCTAAGGCCTGCTCCCCCCGCATTCCCCAGCACATTCTCTCTCTTCCAATAGGAAGCAAATCTGTTGTGTCCATACCGTGGAGTATTGTCTTGAACTCCTGTACCATGAAAAAATTAGCATTTCTGTCCCCACCCCCACCTTTTTTTTTTTTTTTTGTAATATAGCTTAGATCAGGGGTCTTCAAACTTGGCCCTTTGATGACTTGTGGACTTCACCTCCCAGAATTCCTCAGTCGGCCATTTTGATGAAAGTGCAGGCTTGGATCCAGACCAGGGGTCTTCCAACTTGGCTCTTTTATGACTGGTGGACTTCAACTCCCAGAATTCCTCAGTCGGCCATTTTAATGAAAGTGCGGGCTTGGATCCAGACCAGGAGTCTTCAAACTTGGCCCTTTTATGACTGGTGGACTTCAACTCCCAGAATTCCTCAGTCGGCCATTTTGACGAAACTGTGGGCTTGGATCCAGACCAGGGGTCTTCAAACATGGCCCTTTGATGACTTGTGGACTTCAACTCCCAGAATTCCTCAGCCAGGAATGTCTTTGTCTTCTCTTAGGTCCGGCTCTCAGCCTCCGCAGAACTCGGACTGGGTCCAGTTCTGAAGCCGACGGGGAAGCCCAGAGGCCGAGGAGGGGCCCCTTGGTAGCCCAGAAACCGGGAGATGGGCCGTGCCCCGCTGGCTCGCCAACAGATCCTCTGCCTGGATGGGTTTGACTTTGGTTTCGGACCTTGTAGCAAGGCACAGGAGGGCTCCTTGCGAATCGTCTCTCGCTCCTTCGCTCTCTCTCTCTTTCTCTCTTCCACCAGCACTGGGACTTTTGCAGAGGTGTGTGTGTGTGTGTGTGTGTTGTTGTGTGTGCAGGGGGCTGCAATGGTTCAGAGGCCAGCCTGCTGCTTGTGAAGCGGAGATATTCCCGCCTGATCGTCTGCCTCTCTTCCTTCCCAAGAGAAGCAATGTACTTTGGGGGGAGGGGGCTGTGCCGACTCCTCCAGGAATTAGAGACCACCAACAATGTTGTGTTATAGGGCCAGAGCACAAAGCGTTAGAACCAGGGGCCTTCTGACTTGGCCCTTGGATGACTTGTGGACTTCAACTCCCAGAATTCCTCAGCCAGCCATGCTGGCTGAGGAATTCTGGGAGTTGAAGTCCACAAGTCACCCAAGGGCCAAGTCGGAAGACCCCTGCCTTAGAAAGTGGCCCGAGGACGCCTCGCCTTCGGAGGGAACTCCGCCCGCTGCCTCCGCGGGGCGTTTTCTCTTCCCGGATCTCCTGTTGGGTCCGACGCGCGTCTTTCTCTTCTGCGCTCCGTATCCGAAATAAAACCCTTTTTTTCGCCACTCCGTCTCGTAATTCCTTGATTTGACGGGCGGGGGCGCGGTCGGGCAGCGCGGCTGAGCCAGAATGGCCTCGGGCGGCCGCCGTAATCAAACACGCTCGTACGTCAGCACGCCCCGCCTCTCCCGGCGCCATAGCAACCGGCGGCGAGTGTGTGGGGGGGGAAAGGCCTTTCAAGCGGCGGCGTCTTTCGCGCCTTTTTCCTCCGGCTCTGAGGTAACCGGAGAAAGGGCCGCGGCGGCGTAACCCCCGGCTCGGAAGAAAGCGCGGGAAGAAAGCGGGTGAGCCTTCGGCGGGAGGCCGTGGGAAAGGATCCGAAGCGGGCGCGGGGCATGCCGGGAGTTGTAGTTCCCGGGCTGACTCGTTTGGCGCGCGTCTCCCCTCAGCGTCTCCCCGGGCGAGATGTCGTCGTCGCTGCTCTCCGTGCAGGAGGAGAACCGGCTCCTCCAGCAGGAGCTGTCCCGCGTGGAGGACCTGCTGGCCCAGAGCCGAGCCGAGCGCGATGAGCTGGCCATCAAGTACAACGCCCTCAGCGAGAGGGTAGGGGGGGGCTCGAGGGGAGGGGAGGGGAGGGGGAGGCAGCCGGCTGACCCTCCCCCTGAGGAGACTCTGCTGCTGGGGGGGGAAAGGTCTCTCTCTCGCGACCCCCCCCCCTGCACCCTGACAAGCGTTTGGCCTGGAATATGCCTTCCAGGAGGGTCCCTTGTATTAAGTAATATAAATAGTACGTTTATATTGTACACTACACGCGCACACACGCGTACGTGTAATGTTTATGTCTGTGCTTATGTATATATATGTATATATGCATATGTACGTATGCATACATGAATGGAATGGAGTAGAGTAGAATAGAATAGAGTAGGAATAATAACGAATAGAATAGGAATAGGAATACAATAGGAATAGAGTAGGAATAGGAATACTAATAGTAATGGAATAGGAATAGGAATAGAATAGAATAATGAAATGAAAGATAGAATAGAATAGAATAGAATAGAATAGAATAGAATGAAGAGGGAATAGAATAGAATTAGAATAGAATAGAATAATGGAATGAAGAATAGAATAGAATAGAATAGAATAATGGAACAAAGAATAGAATAGAATGAAGAGGGAATAGAATAGAATTAGAATAGAATAGAATAATGGAATGAAAAATAGAATAGAATGGAATGGAATAGAATAGAATAATGGAATGAAAAATAGAATAGAATAGAATGAAGAGGGAATAAAATAGAATAGAATAAAGAGGGAATAGAGTAGAATAGAATAATGGAATGAAAAATAGAATAGAATAGAATGAAGAGGGAATAGAATAGAATAGAATAGAATAATGGAATGAAAAATAGAGTAGAATAATGGAATGAAAAATAGAATAAAATGAAGAGGGAATAGAATAGAATAGAATAGTAGAATAAAGAGGGAAAAGATCAGAGTAGAATAGAATAGAATGAAAAGGGAATAGAATAGAATAGTAGAATAAAGAGGGAATAGAGCAGAGGAGAATAGAATAGAATAAAGAGGGAATGGAATGGAATAGAATTAAGGGATGGAATGAGAATGAGAAGAGAATGGACCGAGCAGGATCTTGAAGTCCTAGTGGACAATCAAATATGAGCCAGCAGCCAAAAAAGCCAATGCAATCCTAAACTGCATTAACAGAGGGATTGAATCAAGGCCACATGAAGTACTAGTACCGCTCTCTAAAGCCTTAGTAAGGTCCCACCTGGAATATTGCATCCAGTTTTGGTCACTACCCTAGAAAAAAATACGTTGAGACTAGAAAGTGCAGAGAAGAGCAACAAAGATGATTAAAGGCCTGGAGGCTAAAAGTTATGAAGAACGGTTACAAGCATGGCTAGTCTAGTGAAGAGAAGGACCAGGGGTGAAATGATAGCAGTGTTCCAATATTTGAGGAGATAGTTTTCCAATGGCTTGTGCTTTGTCTCAGCTGGAGGACGCGTTGCGTCTGGAGACGGGAGAGCCAGACAGCCTGGAGAACAAGAGCCTGGCCAAGCAGAACGTCGAGCTGCGCCGGCGCCTGGAGGAGGACCAGGGGTCCTACAAGCGCAAACTGCAGGCCTACCAGGAGGGGCAGCAGCGGCAGGCGCAGCTGGTGCAGAAGCTGCAAGCTAAGGTGGGTTGGGGGCAACCGCTGGAAATGCCTCCTGCGCGTCTCCAGCTGCTCCAGGCTCATTGGTAAGGGGTGGGGGTGTGTGTCGCAGTAGCTCTTTTGATTGCCAGGCGCTTCCCTGCCTCTGGGCTGGGTCAGGGCTCTGGGTTCCAGTTCACCTGAGTCAGATCACGGAGTAAAGTTTCGGTGGCCCGCAAGGATTTTTTCTCTTGGCTTACGCTACCAGGAATTTTTAAGCCTTCGTTGAGTCTCCTTAGAGCAACGGTTCTCAACCTATGGGTCGCGACCCCATTTGGGGTCGATCGACCATTTCACGGGGGTCGCCAAGCAAGGCTGTCCGCCATTTTTTTCCCCCCTTTTCCGGCGGGTGCCTTACCTCCCTTGGGCTGGGCCAGCTGGTGGTTGGCCTGCTCCGTCTCTGCCGCTTGCCAGCTACGCCTCGGCCGGCGCAGGGGGCGGAACCACGCATGTGCAGCGCTCCCGGGCAGGGAAAGTCCTCGACTTACGACCGGTTTAGTCCTCGACTTATGACCGGTTTAGTCCTCGACTTACGACCGGTTGGGGGTTGCAGCATTAAAAAGGTTGAGAACCACTGCCTTAGAGTCTCTCTTAGAAAGGCCGTATTTCTGGAGGAATTCTCCCGCTGCAATTCCTCAGGTTTCTTTAGGTGGAGGAGGAAAAAAGGCGGCCCGCTTTAAATTGAAGCCACTAGGCCAGGGGTAGGCAACCTGGGCTCTTTTATGACTCATGGACTTCAGCTCCCAGAATTCCTGAGCCAGCATGGCTCAACTTGGAAACCTCTCCCTTTCCCCTCAGCACGGCTGGCTCAGGAATTATGGGAGTTGAAGTCCACGAGTCATAAGAGAGCCAAGGTTGCCTACCCCTGCACTAGGCCCTTCTGCCAGGGTGAAGTTAACCCTGGCATTGCCAAAACCGAGCTAGCTTTTCCTTCCAGGAGACCTGTCCTGTCTTGGAAGCCAGCAACAGCTCTTCTCTCTGCGAAAAGGATGGCTCTGTTGGACCAATAGCCGCAGTTGTATCAGCTCGGCCCAATTTTCTTTTCCTTTCCTTGTAGGTTTTGCAGTATAAGAAGAAATGTGGGGATCAAGAGCAACAGCTGCTGGAGAAATCCACAGAGCTGGAGCATCAGCTTGCGGTGAGGGGCGGTGTAGCAGGCCAGGGCAAGCCCACTGGGCCGGGGGGGGGGGCTGCTTAAGTTGTGCTGTTTTTGCAGCTGGCGCCAGCTGCCCGGTGCACAGAACTCCATGTTCTGTGTGTGAATTGTGGAGGCAGTCTTCCATCTCTCTGCCAGGATAATTTTTTCACAGTGCTGTCGCTACCTTCATTGGCCCACTTTCTCTGCCTTGGGGCGGGTTAATCTCGTAGCCCAACGGCACCGAGCTCTCACAACAAGACCCAAGTCCTTCAGAAGCAGCAGTGTAAACGTAGGGCCCAAGGATAGTTGCAAACTGATGTTCATGTCTTGAGCTTGAAGCTGACCCAAGATTTAAAGCTTTCCCAAAGGACCCTGGGAGCTCCCAGGTCTCGGCCACGCAGTGGCCGCCCAGAGCGGAAGGAAAACCTCCATCCTCTTTGGCTCTGTGGCACCAAGAAGCTTTAAGCAGATGTTCCCAAAAAAGTGGCTCCCTTAGAAGAACCTCAGCTGAACCCTGCAGGCACGTCGGGACCTCATTCTTCCTTTTGTTCTCTGCCACCCGAACCCCTCAGGGCCACTTAGACGTGTCTGAGTCGCATCTGTGTCACGATGAAGATCATAGCAACCACCTGGAAAACGCTCTGATCCGTTTGGAAGAAGAGCAGCAAAGGTGAGGCTGAAGAGAAGCTGTGCTAAGTCTGACTCCCTGGCCTGTGCCCGCTTTGTCTTGGACTGCCTCCGGCACCCCCAGAAGTGGGGCGAACTTTTCCTCGTCCCGCTGGGGGCTTTGGCGATGACGCCCTTTCCTCTCTCGCCGCCAGGAGTGCCAGTTTGGCCCAGGTCAACGCCATGCTGAGGGAACAGCTGGAGCAAGCCAACGTGGCCAACCAGGCCCTCAGCGAGGACATCCGAAAGCTGACCATGGACTGGACGAAAGCCCGAGAGGAGCTGCAGCAGCGAGAGGCCGAGTGGAGGCGAGAGGAAGAGGTTTGAGGCTGGAGACCTGCAGGGACAGGAAGTGTGTGTGTGTGTGTGTGCGTGGTGGTGGTGGGGGGAGAATTCATTCCAGATTGAATAAGCTGGGCAACAGCTTGACCACGTTGGGGATGCACCCAAGAGGTTCCTGTTGTTGGGGACCGAGGCAGAAGTCGGAGT